AAATACTAAAAATAATAAACTAAACTAAACAATTCCATTAACAATTCGCGAAATAGTACATAGCACTGTTCCAGTATCCACACCTGAACTTTTTTCGTGAAAGCGGTATAGGTAGATATCTTTTTCATTTCGCGCGGTAGAATGGAATAAAGCCTTGGAGCAATGTACTGAGCACATCGTTTACCGATTGTTTTTTCAGACCTTGGAAAAAGTATATTATGGTCTTCCTGGCGTGTATAATGAGAGTGCCGAGGAGTGTGCATGTTGGGCAGTAATTTTGGATGTTTTTCTGAACTGGAGGATTCTGTTACAGTAAAGTTGGCGTAAATTCATTACATTTGATTCCTTATACAGGGTGGTGCCTAGCGCAACGCAGCACAGGGATGTCAATGGTCATTTCTTTATAGTCAATTACTAGCTCCCCTAATTATTTTAGAGCAAAAGTCTAAAGAAGTGTTTTTAGAGAAAAAAATACTGCATCTGTTCATACGATTACCTACTTATAATTTTCCGTTTTTCAAAACCGTAGAAATTAACAAAATAAAAAGGTTCATTTTTCAATAAAACAGATATGCCTTGGAATTACCTAAAAAAACAGCGATCACGTTTCATTATTTGCCTTTGACGTTTATTAAATTTATAACGGGCGATCAAGAATGAGTGACTGTCGAGTCGCCTTTGAAAGTTCAAGTTAAGTAGGATTTCCCATGTAAACAAAAATTCCAAAAGTGACTAGACGGTCACTCATTTTTGATCGCTATGTACTTGTTTATAAATTAGTTAATCATAAAATTGTTCATCATGTATTTAACTGACGAGAAATGTTAAAGTTAAAGTTGTTTTATGCTGGAAATAATGCTCGCCAAGTAACGTGTGTATTTAGTGGTAAGTAAAAATCGTTGGACGTCAAACAACGATAACTAGATGCGATGTGTTTGTAGTTTGTTAAAAGATTCCCAAGCATCACTGATTTATAAAAATGTAATTTTTTATTTTGTCGATTTCTACGATTTTGAAAAACGGAAAATTCGACGTAAATATCGAAAATACAAAAAAAGTGCATACCATCTTTTTTATACAAAATTTTATTATCTTTCTTTTTTATATGAAACTTTACTTGCTAGAATGCACGATTACCGAGATATCAACGAAAAAGTGATTTGGAGTACCTTTTTTCCAAGATGAGCTCTAGGAGTTTCGGCCCCGACTTTTAGTATGTTCGAATACAAGCCCTAATGTACCACTATACCAATTTTCAGCTTTCTTTCAATTACTTCCGCTATTCGTGGAAATTTGATCTAATTTGACTGTACTATTTAGCTATTATGGGCAAACTGTTCGCTATTTTGTAGTACCTATATCGATCAAGGTTTTATTTTGAGCGCGATGGCTATTAGGGGTCAAAGGTTAAGGACAGCTCCTCGAAATTTAAATCCAGAGCTTTGTGTGTTAAATAGGTAAACAAGTGGTGAAGACGGCGCACTCGCGCGATTGGCTAGTGCTTATTTTTTATTTGTGACCTTCGAATTTACCCATACTTCCACTTGTTTTGACGGACACGGGTTTAATAGGACATGATATCAAAACTTCGTAAAAATTGCTCCATAAATAAGGAAGTTAGTTCGACAGAAGCGCACATGCGCAAAGTATCGTAGTTCGAATTTCGTTTGCATATAAACAACAAACTTGAGATTTATTTGGTTGTGAAGAAACTGACACTTATTCCAGTCTTTTCTCTTTACGCTCACGCTACGCGATGAAACCTACTTAAAAAGAACTCTACTTTCTACGAGGTCCGAGCGGTGAGATCTCAACCCCACATACGGACGGACGGAATTCATTTTTCATATTATCTCATGAGCATTTTAGAAAAACCACGTCTTTCCCCTATTTTTCGTAATCAATATTGTGTAACTATTTTTTTTCATGTTGTCATTGTGTCGACTGGCGTGACTAGCAGTTGACATCAAACCATACGAACTTACCACGGCCCTACGTTTGTGCTAGAAAGAGACAACCATACCCAACTACTACCAAGACAGTTACTGAACGCCCATTATTAAGACTTTTTTGTAAAAACATGGATCGTTTTTGTAGCGGGCAAGTTGATATACTATCGGAAGTCGAAGCTAGGGTTTCCAGGGGGTTCTAGAAGGTTCCAAAAAACACCACGATGCGTACGAGAAACGCTGCGAGAGCATCTAACTGCCGACATGTTTGAAATAATCACAATCAAACTTTATTGTACTCTCTAATTCTGAACTAAATCGACGGGTTTTATTTCCATTTAAAGGACTAAAGTGTCAATGCAATGAGGGACGAAAAGCGACACAATGATTATTCATTATACCGTTTTCAACGTACCTATCTTTATGAATTTGAGAGGCAGCGTCTTCTGCTAAGTTTTAAACTCGGTTTTAACCGAAATAACTTTTGTTTTGACATCACCAATGGACCCTCTTCTGACAATCCGTTCTTGAGGAATAAGGGAATATACCCGATCACGATTAGAGGTCGAGGAGGAGGGCTATGGTTGGTAGAAATTAATTCCTTTCGTTGAGACCTTTCATTAGAGTACCATGTAGGATAAAACTAGTTCCACTGCCCCCCCTCCCCCTCCACCCCGTACTTTGATAAGAGGACGGAAAGAAGGACAGTAGTTGCTAGTAAACGGTTCCTTTCGTTTGAGACCTCGATTTAGAATACAATGAGAGATAAAATTAATTTTTAATCCCCTCCCTCCTCAGGCCCCGTCGCTCACTGATCTCGAAAAAGAGTCGCACGGGAAAGTTATAGTTTGTACAAACCAATTTATTTCGATGAGACCTTTCATTAGAATACCATGAAGGGTAGAACATGTGCCCCCCCCCCCCCCATTTTCTAAAGTTTTACTTGGCACCACTAAAGACATGCATATGCAAAATCTGAGACCAATTGGTTGTCGTATGTAAAAGTTATGCACGTTTACTTTCGAAAACAGAATCTCAGGAAATAATTCGTGGGGGGACCCCCAGACAGCGAAATTTGATGACCGTCTAGCACACCTTCAAGGTATTGGCTACCTACTGCAAAAAATTCCAGGACTCTAGGACCATTCCCCTAGAAGCAGTTCAAAACGGTAGAAGTGGGTCCGGACAGACGGACGGACAAAATGCAAACAATAGCACATTCTTAAAAAATGCGCTAAAAATATAGATTGTGATACATCAATGTAATCAGCAATATGAATGCCAATAATTGACTTTAAGATATACAGGGTGTTGCATTTAAAAAATACCATCATTGGGTCAAATCTCAAAAACGGTGGTCCAAAAAATTTTTTTTACTACGCCACTGGATTTTACGTATAAATATCTAATTTTTAACGACACCTTCGACATTACACAACACACTAGTCGCTTGGTGTACACAATATACTGTTTCCCCCTCGGGTTTCCTTTACTACATATTTCTTTCCTCTGCTTTTCAGGAAGCAATTGTATTAACAGTTACCTTTGCAATTTAAATCACTCACAAAGAAAATTTTAAGATGGCAGCAACCTGCCCATAAAATCAAGATTTGAGTATCAATGCCATTTTGCCCCTTTGTGGGTACAAGTGTAAATTGTGCAGATAAACCGCAGTTCGATATATACCTTTACTAGAAGAATCTTGGGCCAAAATTAGATATTTGTAAAATCCAGTGGCGTAATCAGCAAACATTTTTGGACCACCGTTTTTGAGATTTGACCCAATGTTGAAATTTTTAAATGCAACACCCTATATATCTTAACGTCAATTAGTTGCATTCGTTTTGCTGATTACATTGATGTATCACAACCTATATTTTTTTATATGTTTATATGTATATTATTATCATATTTTTCAAGATTTTGAAATACATGTTTCTACTGGCAGCCATTTTTATTGATTAGTATCGGCTGTCATGAATACAATAAAAAAACAAAATCTACATGAATCCACGACCTACTATTTAAAAACCCTAAAAAATAAGGTTTTAATTTTTGGTTCATGGCTAAAATTAAAAAAATTAAAGAAAGGTTCTGACACATCAATGTAATCAGGTAAAAGAATACAAAAAATTGACGTTAAGGTATACAGGTCGTTGCATTAAAAAAAAACAACTTTGGGCAAATCTCAGAAACGGTGGCCCAAACATTTATTTTTACTACGCCACTGAATTCTAGGTAAAAATATCTAGACCTTTTTTCTATCTTACACGGGTATTTTTTTATTTTGCCCACTCTGTATTGAAACTTATTACAAAAAGAAACGCGGTCTTCCTCCTGGTTGGAGTGCTGAGATCGCAAACCGTCCTAGGGGCGGACATACGGACATCACCCAAGAAAAACTCTCTAAAAAATCTTAGTGAAGATCCTTGTCTTGGTGCAAGTAAGAACCTTGTTAAATTTGTGCACTAACTTCAATAAACTTTCCAATCTGGTTTTTACTTGAACCAAGTTGTATTCCATGTTTCGAGACCCTAACATCTTCTTTTTGAGAAATGTTGTTTGCACAGTGAAAAGATTCCTTTCATACTCTGTTGAGTTGGTTTAAAAAGATTAAAGTTTTAAAGCCGTCGTACTCGCGCGAATGGTTAAAGCGCATTTTTCATTAGTAACCTTCAGAACGTTTTGATGTGGGGTCTAATTAAATATCAGTTTTAGGCGCATGCAAATATTCGGTTTTACCTTTGGAATTGATTGTTAGTATCGAAATTAACGTTTCTGTTACATAACACGGGAAACACAAAAAATGTGGAAACATAATTCGCATTCGAAGTTGGCATGAGTGTCTGTAAGTTGGACATTTTTCTAAAAGCCTTAAAGTGCAAGTAAAATTGATTGATCGTGTGCCAACTTCAATGGATTTCGAGTTTTGTGTGTTTCTAAATTAAATTTAAAATTATTATTTGCCCCTCTTTTTCTAACACGATAAATGATCAGTCCCCCTTTTTTGTTGTTTACATTTTTGAAATTTCACTCACTTATCCATTACAGATAGCGAACAAGGATCATGGGAAAGTGGACTATCTTACGAATGCCGTTCTCTCCTCTTTAAAGCGCTGCACAATTTGATCGAAAGATGTCTATTATCGAGGGACTTTATACGGCTAGGCAAGTGGTTTGTGCAGCCCTACGAAGGATTGAAAAAAGACGTGGAATCGAGGTATGCGTTTCAGGAAATTGTTAATAATTGAAGAACTCAATTTACAGTTCGACACACCTCTCGTTTTCGTTCGCTTTTTTCGTCCATGGAGAGAGTACCGTGTGCGCAAGCGTCGACGTAAGGCAACACCCGCCCGTCCGGAAATTGAGTCGATGGCACCTGCAACAAGCTCAGGCTTCTTCTTCTGGTTTACAAGGTTTTTATAGCAGTAATATCCATTCGCAATGTTTTTTACAAAATTTTGTTTGTGTTGGCACTACTGAATGTAGTTGCCACTTATATTTTTGATGTGGTAGGTATCTTTTATGTTTTTCTGACAATGCGTGGAATTTTCGTAAAACCCCAAAGTGACAGATTTCTTTAACCTAACCTATTCAGTACTGCCAACAAGACCAACCCTTGTGAAGAAAACATTGTGAATTTGTATAGCATGTTATTTGAATGTAAATTTGCAGTGATTTTGGCACCGTTTGGCCTCGCCGGTACATTGACCGGACACACGCACAAAACGGGCGATTCTACATTGCGTCTACTGGAGGATTGGTGCCAGTTTTACCCATTAGATAAAGTTAGCATGTCGAGTAGCGAAAACAGCATTGTGGAAGTAATCGTCGGCGGTGTTAAAATGAGGTACCCCTCTTGCTATGTGCTCGTCACCGACATGGACGAGCCTTCCAACGGCACCACTTTGAATGGCAACACCATCGTTAAGAACGATTCTAGCACGCCAATCACGCTACAAACACCACCGCCGTCTCCGGTTCCGATCAACAGCCTGGTACCACAACCTGGTCCGTTTCCGGTTTCGATTGAACATCCTGCTTCGATGCACAAAAATGCTACCGCCGCCACCATTTTACCAGAACGCGTCTGGCAGGAATGCGTTCTTGGCGGTCCTACCAATGCTCAACATCAAGATCGACACATTCCGCCACACGACGCCTCCGGGCAATGGGATTTTATTGATCCGACGCGACGTGCTAACTGTACCTGTTCTAAGTAAGTATGCAAGGCGGCCGCCTTCATTCGATCACATTCTTGTTTGTGGTAGGAGTTAATTGGTAGGCGTGAAAGTCTACATGTGAGTTAACGTGCTTGCAAAAGTTTGCCCCCCCCCCCCCCCCATTAAAAAAATGTAAATTTGAAAGTAAGTTTCAAACTTCCGGAATTTAGTATCAGTATGCTTCAAGTACCTATGATCAACATGGACCAAGGTACTAACAGTTTACTTCATTGCTTTACTTATTCCTATGTTCTATAAACAGACATCCATTACGAAAAATAATTCATGTATATAGTTTAGAAGATTGGAATGAGGATGTGAAATTTAAACAATTGCATCTTGTGGAAAAAGCATTTATATAAAGCGAAATTCAACCCAAAGGTTGTTCTACTACTAAATCCTGGTGAAATGCAGCATTCCTTTTTTTATGAATAAGAACAACGTATACAGGGTGTAACTGTTAAGAACAAATTGGGTGGGAGAGAGGACAAGAAACATTTTTTAAAAATAAATCTAGAATGTCTCGTTTTATATTGAACCATTGTATGTTTAAACAAAAATCACTGGATCTCATAATTCTAGTGCTAGTCTGCCCATTTTAAAAATGATTCTTCTTTCTATAGGTGATAGTCATAACCTCTGCACTAGGCAAGGGGCATCCAAACTTTTGCAAGTCCAATTACCTTTCGTATAGGGATTCACGCCTACTAAATGTGCTATCTTTTGGACGATGTGCTTACGTTTTCTTGCTTTTTATGTGCGTCATTAGTGTGTTTTTGCAATGGCGAAACGATTGTGTTCTAAAATCAAAATAACAACACAAACAATAATGTAAGTAGCGGTAGGACTGTGAGGCTTGTCGAATGGCCTTTGACAGTAAACGCACAATTACAGGTGTAGGAAGTACATTGGAAGCATGGCGAAATGTAAATGGGGCAACGGAAAAGGTAGTGCTCCCCGACCGGGCAAAGGGGTAGCGGGTAGAGTCCCGTTCCACAGGCGTTCGCCTGTACTTTCCGAATATACGGCTGACAGGTTGGTCACTCGCTTACTGGGTGACGGGTTACCACAAGTGAAGTTATACCGTACGATTTCTGTCGTTCCGTATGATTTCACTTTCAAAATGTGGTACTGCGCCAGTTATAGAGACGCTTACTACTTACTCAACTTGAAACACACTTTGCGCGAAATGTAAGAGGAATTAAAGTGTGTTTGAAGGTCCTAATCTCATGAACTCATAATTCATTTGCTTCTACCCGTTTAGGTGACGGATAACCCCAGTAAGCATGTTAAAGCCACAATGAAAGAAATAACTTGATGAGGACAGATCCCGTTTTTAATACTTAACAAATCATCATGCAATAGACTGAGGTGGTCTTTATTTTAGCGACTCAATCGGTGTGTTCATAAATACTGCTTTCAATCAAAAATTGATGCGTATACAGTGTGTCCACATCCCAAACTAAGATATTGAAAAATTCAGCAAAATCAATTAATATATAGAGGGTGTTTTTTTTGCGAAATTGTACATAATAATATCCATTATTCCTAACAAAATCCGAAAGTTTGTACCTATTTTTTTAAATTTTTGAAATTTTCTAAAAATCTAAACTTAATATCTTCTTTGTTTATCTTTCGATGATTTAAGTTTTTTGTAAATTTTTGGGGTCTTATTGCAAAAGGCTGGTTTTGAACTATCTTTTTAATTTGGTGCATTCAGACTTATAATTGATTAACCCGTTTAAAAAATTTTCCTTTAAAATGATTAATAAATAATTATAATAATAATAAATAAAATTTAAATGATTTCTTATTTTTAATGACAATTCATTGACGATTTAAAAAAAAATTTTTAAGAAATTTTTTGCAAAATTGTATTCTGGAAATTTCCTTTTAAATGATTAATAAATAATTATAATAATAATAAATAAAATTTAAATGATTTCTTATTTTTAATGACAATTTATTGACGATTTAAAAAAAAATTTTTAAGTAATTTTTTGCAAAATTGTATTCTGGAAATAGTTTTTTTTAAAATTTCAAGTGTCTTTGAAACAGCATGAGTAATAATAATTTTTTTGCGTTGCTCGCAGTTCGATTTTCACAGCTGAAAACCATATTATGAATTTTGGAAATTCTCGAAAAAAATGATTTCCAGCAAAATCTCAAATATTAATGAACAAAAACAAAATTCACAATACCTCCCATTTATATCTGCGGCGCTGCTAATTAAAATTCAAAAGTTGCTAAAATGAAGCCTATCTTAAGTTCATTGCAGCTCTAAATAGGAATTGGTTTTTGTGCACGCCACCACCTGCTGTATATTATTAAGTCGTGGTAAATCCAAGGAGGTGCAGGATACAACATTTTTGAAATTTGTTACTAACTTATTTTCAGATGAACGTCATGCTTTTAACCGGTGAACATGCGTACATTGCTTTCAGGTTATGTAATGCACGTTAACATTAACCGCAATTGATATTTCCCGCTGACATTGTATTAAAAACACTTAATTTCTTAATTTGCAGATGTCCTGGTTCGTATACTCCTCAAGGTGGTCCGCCATCGTACCCTCGAACTCAGGAATCTATGGCAATACCGTCAGTAGGCAGTCCAGCGTCAGTTGCGCCATCTCCGTTAGCCAATCCTCACTCGCAGCCCGCCTCGGTGCCGCCGGGTGATCAAATAATGCCGACTTTATCACCGAATCCACCCACGATACTACCGTCGCCTGTCGAAAAAACCCAAACGCCCGATCAACCTCCGCCGAGCGCCGGATCTGTCGACACTAGTCCACCAAATATTAGCACCGAACAAAAATTAGAGACGGGTATCTCGTCTAGCGTCGCACAGGTCAGCGTCCCGACTCTTAAGAGGCCTGTTCTCACATCGAAGGAGTACGAAGTTGCGTTGGGCGAAGAAGAACATTCCTTAGATCTGCTCTACGACTACTCTTCATTGGACGCATGGTAATTCTGCGATACAAAGTTTTTGCATTCCTAGCACCAAAATTTCTAGGTTAAATCATCCGGTAAAACGGTTTAAACCCGATGCAAAAGAAAACTACAGAAATAACAGGATAGCGAAGGGAGATCTTTACTCGTCATCTGCACAAAATGGTGTCTTAGGGATAAATAATGATCTTAACCACACTGGAGGGAAATCTCAGCCCCCTTTCATTAAACAAGAAATCAAACAAGAACCGGTAAGTATCAGTGGAAAATGGAGATTAAAAAATCGTTTTTATCGACCCGAAAAACATGAGTGACTGACTGTTTCTATAACTGATAATATTGTTGTACGCCCTTTCGAGAGTCAAACCTTTAGGGCCATCCTATTGTATTGTATTGTGTATATGAGGGTAAGGCAATGTAGCCTTTAAGCACCCCTAATCCTTAAGAGGATTTTTGTGCTGCTCTTGCTCATTTTAGAGTAGTTTTTAAGAGTCTTCTGTACCCACTGCATCCAATGTAAATTTCCATAAGAGCGCCCGCCATAAAAACTATTTGTTTTTCCAAAAACAAGGTTTTTTAAGAACTATTTTATACATTTAGGGCCGGTTTATCAATCTACTACAAAATGTTCGGACTATTTTTTTTTTTAAAGTTTATAGCAACTTAATACCGATTGTTTAAAGATTAGATGTTTCGCACCGATTATTGCACTAATCTGTTTTATTTTTTTACTCTCGATCAAGACGATTTATGGAAAAAGTAAACCGACAGTTTTTTAGATAAGTTACTTCTAAACATGACCCCAAAAAATGAAATCATAATTTTTGTAAATAAAGTCTGTATCTTGGCGGGCGTTAAATCAACAATTTGAGTGTAACAAGTGGCGCCACTGCACAGTGTCGGTGGGAACTAACTAAGGACCAAGACAGGAGTTGACAAAGCAAGAATATCATCTTATCTCTTGCAGCTATAATCATCTATATACTATAATGTAAAAAAGTTGCGCTTAGGTAAAGAAGACTCTTAAATAAGCTAATTACTGCTCTGAGCTTTAGTTTAGGCCAGTAAATGACCGTTTTGGCGTGTAATTTTTCGCGCTTCAACGGATTTACTTGAAAATTTGGATTTAGGCTTCAAAGGTGAACTTGAGCCCAGGGTTGTTTTTACTTGGGGGGGGGGGTGAATGCCACCCCTTCTCGGGGGAAAAAAGTCCGGAAATTGATCAATTGAGTAATTCTAAGCAACTTTTGTTCTATAGAGTTTTTTCACTAAGTCAAATCGAGTACTTCAACGTGAAATAACAAAAAAATGAAGCACTTTTTGTGGAAAATTGATGAATACTTTTTTAAAGTGTTTGAAAAAACCTTTCTTTTTGTTTTTAAGAAAAGTTCCTAACATCAAAACTAATTGAGTTACGCTCAAAATAAAGTTGGTCCTTTTTTTTGTAAAAAAAATCAAGGAAATCACCCCCTAATTAGCACCCCAATTGTAATTAAGGGTTACTGCTTTACAGTTTATTTATGTATTGTTTATATGATCTGTAAGTTTGACCGGAGCAAAGTGCTTATTTTTGAAAAAATGTAGTTGTGAAGTAAAAAAAAATTTTGAAATTTTGAAAAATTGCCTTTTTTTCAAAATAACTTCAAAAATATTAGTGATACGAAAAATTTACAAGAATAAAAAATGTAACTTTTGCTTTTGTGAACATTTTGCTTTTTTTTGTTTTTCTGTAAAACAAAAATTGGTTAAGATTTGGCTCTTCAAAGTTTGCATACACTCGTCATTAGTGACTCATTCGAGCCCTTTCAACTACAACCCTTTCAAAAATAAGGCTTTAAAAAAAATTAATTTGAATAATCTTATAGCTTTTTAAAAAACCTACAAAATGGTTTTTTAAAGCACTTTGTAGCTTAAAAATTAACCGATTTATGAGTAAAAAACCAATCACATATTTATTTAATGCATCAAAACGCGTGTATAGTCAGTAAAATGAGTAAGTTCGCATATCGGATTAGCGCTTATATTCACAGCGCGCATGAGGTTATACATCTTTCCTTATTTAAAACATGACATTTGAGGTAGACGGCAAGTGCGTATCTAGTTTTACGAACCGCGGGCGGTGAACTAAGAATTACACTGGACGTTACAGACGTTTAAAATGGAGGTTGTTGCAGCAAAAAGAGAAAGCAATAGTTAAGGTATGTTGGTCTCGGAATGGGAAACACCCACTTAAAAGCGTCAAGCCAGTGACACTCAACGTGTTTTAAGTGGGTGTTTCCCATTCCGAGACCAACATACCTTAACTATTGCTTTCTCTTTTTGCTGCAACAACCTCCATTTTAAACGTCTGTAACGTCCAGTGTAATTCTTAGTTCACCGCCCGTGGTTCGTAAAACTAGATACGCACTTGCCCTCTACCTCAAATGTCATGTTTTAAATAAGGAAAGATGTATAACCTCATGCGCGCTGTGAATATAAGCGCTAATCCGATATGCGAACTTACTCATTTTACTGACTATAGTTACTGGAGCATTGTAAGATACAAATAAATAATGTGCTATTAAGGCACAGACATACTTTCATTTCTTCGCAAGTGTTGGTTTTTATAAGGGTAGAAATTATGTGGTAAAAAATAAAAATAGCAAAGAAATCTAAATTTAATGTTACTGTATAATTAAATAATCCCAAATTGCTTGAATTTACAATTATATGATTAATAGGGGTAGTTTCCACCCCTAAAAAATAAACAGCAACCAACGGCACAAGTCCAATTTTGAAGTGGAGCGTAAGAATAACCTAAATCCAAATTTCCATGCAAATCAGTGGAGTCAAGGTATTCTATGACATTGTTTTAATTATATGTAACTATTTTAGAGGTAAGATTTAGGGGTTAAACTGTGATAAAATGTTATGTTGTTTAAAGTTAATTGATATTTATTCACTCCTTTAAAAGATGATTTGAATCAATTACCCACTTTAATTTACTATTATACGATTTTTTTCTAATAGGGGTAGTTTTTCCCCCTAAAAAATAAAAAGCAACCCCGAGCTCAAGTTCAACTTTGAAGTGGAGGGTAAGTAGAACCTAAATCCAAATTTTCATGCGATGGTCGAGACGCGGAAAATTACATAGTATCGCCGTATTCCACGTTCATTTACTGACCTATGTCTTGTGTGGTTTGAGCTTGTCCCCACCCAGGTGATTTAGCCTTTGCCCGGCAACAGCTTCACATTCACGTGGAATCCGTTCAGCCTTCATTTCAGTCTGTATGTGGCCTGTGAACGGCCCTGTAATGGACTGTAGGTCCTTCCGGTTGACGGCTAAAGCTTTCTTTGCTTTTTCTAACGTGACCTGGATGAATAATTTAGCCTGTCGTTGTCCTAGTACCCTCTGTCAGGGATGGATCCTATTAGGACTTCTTTTATGTGACTTTTGTGCAGTCCACCTAGCAGTGCCTCCATAGCGGCTGGGGGACAGGTGTTCGTGGCTCTTGGCATACTTAAACAGGCTAGCCCTTTGTGCATGCTGCAGCTGTTTTTGTGCAGTTCTTTGCCCAACTTTTGGGTCTGATGATAGTTTCATACGATCATTAGGTTATTTTAGCCATTAAGCTCCAGTTCCTGCCTAGTAGCCTTCTACAAGCCTAGGATGCCAGTGTTTTTATCACCTTATCCATATGGGAGTTCCATATTAACCTCCAAGTTCACTCCCAGGTGTTTGACCTCTTTACTAAGATCGATGGTGGTGCCTCCCATAGGAGGTGTCCTTATGTTGGGTTTCCTCCTTCTGCTAAAAGGCACCACCACCGTTTTGAGCGGATTAATGCTTAGCTTGCAAGTGTTGGTTTTTACCTCTACAATATTCAGAGCCTTTTGCAGCTGTTCAGATGCAGCTCCTCTCGTACACATCAAGTAGGAGTCTTTGTAGATCATTTGAGGTTACTTCCAGTTCCTGTGTCTACCTTATCAACTTCAGATCTAATGTTATACTGCTTATAGGAACACCAGTCTGTCAGTTGTGGCACGTGGATTGTAATTGATTGTATGCGTGATGTCTTTATCCTGAACCTTACATAGTTATGGTCCGAGAGTGAGGTCTCGTCTAATACATGCCAATTAGTTATGTTTGCCTCAATTAATGGAGTTGAAAGAGTAATATCCAACACCTACTGTTGTTGGCATCGTGGCCCATGACTAGGTCTATGTTCTTACACTTGCAGTATTCCACCAGAGCCTTTAATGCTCATGTGGGTATCGCCCCCCCCCCCCCCCCCCAAATAGACATATGGCTTTAGTATGAGCGCAATGGTCACATTGGTTGTGGTGAACTTCTTGCACAGAGTCAGAGGTCGCTTTGGGAGAGCCTGCGCCATCAATGGCTTGTTCCTTTTCTCCTTTTTGACTCTCTTCTGGTTGCCCTTTCCGCCGCTCCCTTGGAAGTGGCGCTGCTAGCGCCTACAGCTTTACAGAGTTGGAATAGAAAGGGTGAGACAAAAGGCATTGGGAGAGGTCATGCAAAGGTACTCTGGAATACGCATGAAAGCTCGTGGGTGAATTTTCTAGTGCCCTGAAAATCACCAGAATGTGGTTATTAATCCAGGCTAAATAGCTCTAAAATAATTTATTTTCAAAAAAATTAGTTACCGAGCAAAACCGGGTTTTTCAGGCAGGTGAAATGAATAGAAATTAAAAGTTATAGAGATTAAAAAAATGAGCAACTTTTGTATCTGCACTATGTATTTTCACATAACCTCCAATTTTCTTAGAAAAACCGGAAAAACTGTTTTTTTCGTTTTTTATTCTTATTTTTGCGAAAAAACGTCGTAGGGGTTTGAAATTTGGAGGAAACATAGCTTGTTTTATGATAAAAAAGAAGATAATTTTTTGGGCCTGTAAAGTTGAACCGTTTACAAGATCTCACAATTTCTGAAAAAAAAACACCTCTTTTTCAAGGGGATGAAAAATCGATTTTTTTTTCATCGTACAGAGGTGCGCGGGGTAGCAAAATTTTCGTAACGGCTTAAATTTTAATAATCAAAAATAAAAAATATTATTCCAATAGACAAATTTTAAGAAAAGCGTCAAAGACGGGGGGAACAGTTTTAAGATATACCGTTTTTGACAGTAGGTAAATAGCTTTTTTTGCAACTAAATTAACGTATTGGATCGGCGCTAATAAAAAGTTTTTGAAATCTGTCTTCTCTCTCCTCTTTAATGTTGCTAAAATATTTTCTTTTGTTTCCTAGTGCCCAACTGCCTTAATTAAACATCTTTATTATAAAAGCAATTGGAAGTAAAATCGAATTCTTTTTGCTTCCTGAACAATTTGTTTTTGTTCACTAACTCTTCTTCCTGCCTGATGTACATCTGATGGGATTAAGCTGGGCCTGTTGATCGTTAATTTATAGGAATTGTGAATAAAATCCTCATAAAGTTTATTCCAGGTTTTACATCTCAAATCATTTGCTTTAGCCGGTAAAACTCACGTTCTTATTGTAGATTTTGCAAGTTAAACAGGCCCAACGCAATTGAATCAGCATAAAACAGGCAGGAAGAAGAGTCAGTGAACAAAAAGAAATTGTTTAGGAAGCAAAAAGAATTCGATTTTACTTCGAATTGCTTTTATTGCGGTAAAAATGCAGAAAAAAGAAATAATAAAGATGTTTTAACTAAAACAGTTGAGCATAAGATAACAAAAGAGAATATTTAAGCAAACATTAAAGAGAAGCAAGAAGACCGATTTTGAAAAAATCTTTTTGTACTCATTGAATGGAAAGATAATGTTTCCAAGCATCCTCGATGCACGGGAAAACGACTTTCCCGCATCGCGGTGTTTTTTAGTTTCCGCTGGAGAGAAGGGGTTATGCGCGTTCTTCGGTTGGTAGTACTTATTGAAGTCAACGAACGTCATGGCATGGTTAACTGTCATCTGCTGTAAAATCAATTAAACCGTTGGTTGAGGGTATTTACTGCGATTAATCGGAAACAGACGTACACTAAGTTTTACGTAAATGTATAAACAAGAACTTATAACGCAATCAAATTATTTTTCAGAATTGGAACTCAAGAAAAAGTAAAATTTATTGTTAAAACGTCTTAAAATGTGACCAGTGATATTCTGCAACTATTCGCATATGCAGTTTAAGAAAGCACATATTAACACACACAAAGCTTCCAAGGATTTTAAATGTAACGAGTGTATTTATGCAACTCAAGATAAATCAAATTTGAGAACACATTTGTTCACACATGTCTTCTGGGAATATTAAATACGATCAGTACACTTACGCGACCAGTAAGAGCACTCTTTTCAAAGCATATTTGTTAACATTGAAGACTTCCAAGGATATTCAGTGCAAACGATGCAATGCCGTGACCAGTAGTAGCACTCATTGCAAAGGCAAAATATGTATTAACCAAAGATGTGGAAGTTTTAAATGTGAGCAGTGCAATTAAAAGTGGGTAGTTACAAAATTATGTTACCAACCAAACATATGATTGTGTTACCAACTCATGATTTAAAAAAAACTAATTTACAAAACTTTATTAATTTTGACTTTTTTCTACGCAATTCGTTACAAAAAATATTGTACCTAACTCTTTCGGAAAGAATTTTCCCGCATTCGCACTAAACAAAGTGCTCATCCGGGGAAAATCAACTTACCGAACTTGTTAGGTAAACAACTATTATTAACATCCAACACGTTGATTTATCATGTCAAAAACCGTGTATATCTTAAAACTCTTTTTCCAGTTTTTGGCAATTTTCTCGAATTTTTGCTATAAGAATAATATTTTTTTATTTTTGTTTATTAAAATATAAGCCTTCCCGAAAATTTTGCTACCCCGCGAACCTCTGTACGATGAAAAAAAAATAGATTTTTCATCCCCTTGAAATAGAGGCGGTTTTTTTCAGAAATCGTGAGATCTCGGAAACGGTTCAACTTTACAGGCCCAAAAAATTATCTTCTTTTTTATCATAAAACAAGCTATGTTTCCTCCAAATTTCAAACCCCTACCGACATTTTTTTGCAAAAATAGGAATAAAAAACAGTTTCTCTAGGAAAATTGGAGGTTATGTGAAAATGTGCAGATACATAATAAGTTGCTCATTTTTTAATCTCTATAACTTTTACATTGAACATTTTCATCTAAAATTAATAGTTTTGCCACAATTTGCAAAACACCACTTTCCACCCCTTTCAAGTCCCGAGATTTCACCCGCGGAAAAATTCAGCTGTTTTAATTATTTTTTCCCAATTTCTATTCATTTCACCTGCCTGAAAAACCCGGTTTCGCCCGGTAACTAATTTTTTTTTTGTAAAAAAATATATGGTCTGGACTATATGACTTTCCAGCGATTTTCTTGTTCAGTGTTCTTTCCAGATCTTTAATGGTGATTTCTAGAAGAGTTTAGAAAACCCTGGTGGGATTCTAAGAGAGGCCTTCCAAACTTTTAGATTGCTCTGGAAACTACTTACAAGACTGGAAAGCGTTGAAAATGACTTTCCAAAAAAAGTGCATCCCAGAGACGATCCAGAAAGCACCTGAAGGATTTCCAGAGTAACTGAAATGCTTTCTAGATTCGCTTAAGTGCTTGCCCGAGCCATATATCATTTTCTAAGTCATTTTCATAGCTAGGAAATCTTGGAAAGCACTTGGCTATGCGCTTATTTTCAGTACATGTAGTTTGTAACCTTTTCTAGAGTTAGGGGAAGAGTTTAGAAATTCATGTAAAGGGGAGATAAATGTGATTTGGGATTTAGCGTACAAAATTACATTAACAAACAGTATATCATTTTGTTTTCTTCTGTTAATGTGTATCTGCGAAGATGGATGAGGAAAATGTACCAGTTCTTCATGCGGTTCTTCCTCACGGAGTGAAGAGGCCAGGTGATCCGTACGAATTCGAAGAGGAGGGCGGCGGGGCAGCTTGCAATATGGATGGTTTCAAACCACGACCGGTCGGTGCAAAAGAGGAGGCGAAAGATGCGAAGAAAGCTTCTGGGAACTTATTTACTAGCGAAGGTCTTCAACCGTCTTACAAAGATCTCGATCAAATCTTTGATAACTCGGATGACACCAGTGGTGATGAAGCCGTAAGTATATTTTGCATTCGCATGCGGTTTTCATTGACGAATGAAATTTAAGTTGCAAGTGCAAACACCTCCCGGTTCCAATAAATCGTCGGGCATACACGAGGATACCAAACGGTTATCCGGGCATAGTACGTGTTCAAATATGGGCATTCTTAGACCGGAAGAACTCTGTAAAATGTTCCCGACACCTCCTAGTCTAGAACACAATCCTATCGCATCGCCGTGCGGCCAGATTGATCTTCCTCCACCTGATCTGACAGATTTAGGGATAGTAAGAGTTAAGCAGGAGGTGTACCCCAACATGGGTAGTCCAATGGATGAAAGTATAGGTACGATTGTTGATCTATAATTCGGTATTGCCTAATTATTCTTTACAGAAGATTGGAGCTACGTTTTTAGACCGCCTAGCGCTTGCAAGTTGGTGGGATCGAGTAAATATGCCCCTCTAACGAATCTTCCGAGTCAAAACGTCCCTGCGATAGTGATTCCTTCTCATTGTGTATATAAACCATCGTGGATGCAGCACATGGAGAAGTCGATCACCCAAATGAGCAGCACAAGTGTTTCTCAACCAGTTACCTCGCGACCAAATTCAGTATCTAGTAACGTGCATCAAAACATTAACCCATATCCTTCCAGTCCTTTACACGCCGGCTTTAGGCCTCCTCCACCCCCTTACGAACTGCCAAGTCCTGCTACCTCTACCACCAGCTCCTACATAAACAAAAACATAAACTCTGTCGATCCCGAAACAGCCCCCTCGATACAAAGGACACCTGAGGCGAGTTCGTTGGTTGTTAATATCCTTCTCGGTGACACCGCATTAAATATATTTAGAGACCACAATTTCGACAGTTGTACTTTGTGTGTGTGCAATGCGGGACCTAAGGTCGTCGGCAATATACGCGGTGCCGACGCCGGCGTTTATTTATTAAATTCGACTAGTGACCGGACTCAGTGCTCTATGGTGCAACAGCCGAGCAGCCCATTTCCGAGTCTCGTCGGCATCGGGCAGCCGCCACCGTACGGTGGCATTTTATCTCCACATCAACCTCATATCCCCACTTTAGACGAAGATCTAATTCGGTGTAGTTGCGGATTTTCGGCTGTCGTCAACAGGCGGCTGTCACATCGTAGCGGGCTATTTTATGAAGATGAAATGGAAATCACAGGTGAGAACGTACTGAATTACGCAAGCTCAGCTTGTCTGTTGGTAATTCTAGTTAATAATAAATCTCATACGTAACCATAATTTACGAAAGGTACCTTTGGCTAACTATCAGCATTTTGCTGACAACGCGTAAAAGAAGTTAAAAGGTTAAATTCTCAACAAATAATGATACTGAGACCACAGTAATTCGACTGGTGTTAAGTTGGCAATAATTGTTTAGCAAGAAATATGTAAACCATAACATAATTTAGAAAAAGAGAAATTGTCATTTTGTAAAATTCGATAAACCACTTACCCGTTTCGGGCCTGGCTTTAAATTGCTCATATCTTTTTGAGCGGATTTTAAACAACATCAAGGCGCCCGTAGGGGTAGATTACCTTTTATTTTTGTTGTCTTAAATTGCGTCTCTCAATCTCATAAATAGGAGTGGTGCATTTATGTGCTAGCAGATTTTGATATGTGGAATGCGCACGTCACTCGGTGCCTCAGATTATAAAAAAATTATATGGAACATTAAAAGAACCTTTCAGATGAAAAACACTAAGCGCTTTAAAAATGCCGCGCTCGAGTTACATAGTTTCACTTCGAAAGTTCGACTAAGAATCCTATATTACGCGATCTAGAATGCCGCGCTCAACTCTCAGATTAGTTTCGAACGTTTAGCGAAGAATCCCTCTCTCCCACCTAATTTTTACTTATGTACTCGCGGAGTTAAAAACCAGGAATGGACTCAACGAGAATCAAGCTCCAGCTATATTTTTTTAACACATGTAGAGAAAGTGCGCCCTTCATGCTCCCTAAGGATGGTTTTTAGAACTGGCAACACTGTGGCGTTTTGACTCTTATCTGGTTTTGCACTCACCTCTTATCTTACGCTTCATTTATCAGGGTTTCAAAAAAACCCTTTTTTTTAAACACCCCAACCCACTGAGTCCAAGTGGGTTTTTTCGGATAAAAGTGGGTAATGGTACTTTTTCGATTGGAATTAAACAATTCGACAATATGACAAAAAAGGCGCCGCAATATTGTGGTTGTGTTGTGGTGGTTCACTTTTACATTTTACTATGAGTAAGAATAAGAATACAAGTTTTGAATTATTAACACTATACGAACTCAAATGGAAGTATCTATGTTTTATTTTTGTATTTTTAAAATTAAAAGTGATTCGTGTATAATTTGAAATATGCTTTTGCCATATCAATTTATTTCAAACCAGCCTAAGTCAAAAAACTTGTTAATTATTTCAAAATGAAAAAACCCACTAATGAAAAACCCAGTGCGTTTTTTCAAGTGGTTCCAACCTGAAAAAACCCACTGAGGCGAACCCTGTCATTTATACTCTGTCCCCTCCGACGTCTGCTGTAAGAAAAATCCTAATGTTGACTTAATTTCTCAACTTTAGGTTCGGTGGCCTTGATAAACTTCCAAAAATTCTAAAGAATTTATTACACAACTTTTGAATAACATCTAAAATAAATCTTGAACACAAGTAGAAAAAAATCTGGGTCGCACAATGGATTTGAATAAACACACAATTAATTTGACAATGACAACAATTTATTCCGAAACACAATGAAAGAAATTAAAACAAAATCCCTTAAAAAAAAAAGCTTACAAAGCTTGTTTGGACATACTACCCTGCACCAGGCGGTCAACAAATAAAATAAGAAATCTTAAAATTATTTAGTTTTTTTTCTATTAATTCAATAAACGCCAAAATATTAAGAGGCGCATTCCGAAGGCAATTGGGAGGGGCGGGATAAGGGAGGGGGGTTACGTAAAACCCAATTATAGATACCACCCGGTCTCAAGTTTGTATAGAACCGTTGACACGTTGCTCGGCTTCACCTCGCACATTCAGACACGAAAGAAAAGACGTCGCTCGGCTTCGGCGGCACAGCCGCCTCACCTAACGCCTTTGCTCGATTCGCCGTCGATTTTAGAACGCGACCGATCACTATAGGAGACCAACGTAAAAAACCGCTTCGTTCTAACCCTCGTGACTTCCGAATAAACGTCAAAACGACGAAAAAGTATTGTTTAACAGTCCGGGGGGTGGGGGGGGGGGGTTAATTGAGGGGTGTGAGGGTGCGAAAAGAACGTCTGAGGAAAGACTTGGGCTACTTCCTAAAAACTTACCCTCGCCGATGCCACTCGCCGCCGTAAATATTTTTTACAGGCGATTATTTTATATCTCGAAACCGATCCGATTTTCGTTCGAAAATTCCCTGTCCCACCCTCTCTCGTTGAAGGGGGTCGTACGGTACACCGTAAGTTGCGAATTTTTTTCCGGAGGTCCGGATAGCCGCGCGTCGGCAAAGTAGCGCCGTCGGAATTCGAGGCTTGTGTGAAAATTTGGCGAGATTCTCCATAACCGAAGGAAAGCTATCGACGAAAACCTCGAATTTTGCTTTGTATCTTCTTGTAATTATACTAAATAATGGTGGTACAAGGTTTGCAATATAAGGCGCACTATTTTACACAGAAGCTCTTAACTTTGCTTTATAATACAGAATTAGATGAGATACAAAACTGGGTTGAATAAGGTGAATAAATTTTGTGTGGCTGTTCGGACGTTAGAAAGTTAACTTTTAATAAGAAGAGAACCTTAACAAAAGGCCTTGCTGTATTTTTCAACTCAACAAACCTTTTTTGTCACACAACTTTGGTTAATTTGCGTTTTTAACACAACAAATAGGGCTGACTGCCCGTAATTTAGCGTCAACAGATGTACACGCTTTTCAACCGTCGCGAAACCAGCAGCCTCGTTTATTCATCTCCAGTACTTAAGGAAACGCCACTTCCACCGTCAAATAAACTCCTTCATTATGAATATTCAAATAAATCGCCAATCACAACAGTGCCTACTTCTTCAACATTTGAATTCTTTAAAACACTTGCATCTCTTCTTATCGGCGATAAAACACGTGCGTTATTTAATTTTCGCCTGTTAAAACTCCTTACTGTAAAAACGACCAGATGTGTTTTACTCCTAACACCTCATCTAAATGGAATAAATTACAAAATTTTTAAAAGGAAAAACAATACTGAGATACAAATTCAAATAAAACGAACCAACTCTGCTTATTTCGTAAATAATCCATCGGATTTCCTTAATCAATTGAAATATTCACATATACAGGCTCGTTTTTTGTAAGAAATTTAATTGTAATTTATATTTTATACAGTTTTTTGTATCTATTTCGGTTTACTTTACGTTTGGAAATAATTGCGTGTGACATACCAATAAACTATCATGCTTTGATATAGCCGCGTGTTGCCGCTCACGTAGGACACTGCGTTAGGCAAGGTCCACAATGCGACACACGCAGCGCACGCCTTATGTTCCGTTGAAATTACTAAAAAAAATATGTCTCTCAGACACTGTGTGTGGCGCTACATATGAGTCATAACACGCATGTGCACATTACTTTCAACAGAATGCAAAGCGTGTGTGATTGTGGCTTGTGTGGCATGCGCCGCGTGTGTCTCAATATGGGCACAGGTTTATGGTGGTTTGCACCTTTTGCAGGGGCATCTCTAAAAGGCATTATGCGGGTCACTCTGTAATTGGGCGAAAACCTGTTGAGGGCCGAGGACAAGAGACAATAAATAAATAAATAAATATTTTTGTGCTGTGTTAAGATGATGCTAGTCGCATTGTATCTATATTTGTCTGATTGCAAACACATTTCTTAAAGGTATTGCAGAAGATCCGAGTGACCGTAAAAAAGCTTCTTTAGTATCATTCCTTCTACAAACGAGCACGACAAAATTGGAGCCTAGCATAGACAGGGAGCAACTCGACATAATACCGCACGGTATATTAGAATTAATGAGAGAACAGTGCGTTATGACGCAAAGCACTGCCAACTCGCTCTACCGCTCGTCGCGGTTTCATCATTCTTCGCAATTAATGCAAACGTACTCGTCGACGGTTAACGTACTCGAATTTGCGGACGGTAACGAGGTTACATGCCTCGCGCTCGAGCAAAGTAAGCATTCGATAGAGACGCTGTCGATGTGCAAAATGGAGGATCTGCAAAATCAAAGGCACGGCAAGTTGGGACATCACATTTGCGTTCATCGGTGGCCGTTCTTAAGGGCGTGCGGGCCGCAATGCAATCAGGACATTGTGAGGGTGATGAAGGCGCTGCAACCTCTACTACAGGAGGCGATTCAGAAGAAGTGTCAAACGCGACTGTGGGAAGCGCCGTCTGCCGTCAAGGGACCACTTACTTGGAGACAGTTCCATCGGTTAGCCGGACGAGGTAAATACCCGAAAATGTTGCTGGATTATTTATGGTGCGAATGTCAAATTGCATTTTTTGTTGTAGGTACCGACGACCGTTGTGAGCCTCAACCCGTACCATCGTTAATCTTTGGACACGAAAAAGATTGGATGTCTTTATCACCTTACGCTGTACACCATTGGGAGAGATTACTGCTCGAGCCGTATTCTTACGCGAGAGACGTCGCGTATATTGTAGTCGCTCCCGATAATGACATTGTGCTGCCACGAGTTAGGTCTTTCTTCAAAGATCTGTCGACGGCTTACGAGATGTGTCGATTGGGTAGGCACAGCCCTATCACTAAAGTACTCAGGGATGGTATACTTAGAGTGGGGAAGGCTGCGAAAGCGAAATTGGGCAATGAACCGGTTGAAGATTGGTTCAACTTGTTGGGCGAAAGCGAGACGACGGACATGCTCAAACTATACGCTCAAGTAATTAACTGATAATGTTGATTTACCGTTTAATAGCAATATTAACTTTTAGGTATGCAAACATCACTTAGCACCCCACCTCCAGCAAGTTCCAATGGATAGAACGTTACTAGATCCACCAGAAACATGTACTGATCGTCCTGCACCTAGTCCTATGCCTCCACCGAGCACTCCGGACAACAGTACAAGCAATCAAGGTGGTAGCACACCTAGCGGCGGCGATAAAGCGCCATCTACACCTAAAAGCGATCAAGGTTTCTATTAATGTACATTAGCAGGATTGTCATTGTTTGCTTTACAGATTCGTCTTCTGACAATAGCAGTAAGGACATCTCCGCATCGATGATGTGTAACACGGCAGAACCGGCACATGATGAAGATGAACGGCAAGCCCCGTCTGTGATAATATACATGGTAGAACCGTTCTCGTTCGGATGTGACCAAACGGATTTGCAGAGGCTCGCGTGCCTCGCGCTGCTCAGGTGTTTTCAATCTGTCCTTTTGTCCGTTCCCGAAACGATACGTAGCAATATTAGTGTCCAAGTACGTGTACTTTTCCTAACGGCTCGTACTACATCATCAATTTTCAGATCATATCTCAGGAGAGCATTATGGAATTGAGTAAGTCGCGAGATCGGTCACGTCAGAGTGATCACATGCGAGCGCTCGCTTTAAGTGTGTTCTCGCAGTGTCGCCGGTTATTAATACACACGTGCAATGTGAAATCGCTGACAGGTTTCGGGCCCGCCGCCAGTGCTGATCTCTTTCTGAAAAATAAAGAAGTAAGTTTGCTGTCTTATAGTACAATCGCAATGTTGCATTTGTAGTCCCACATGAACGCTATCTCCATCTCCTAATTTTTTCTAAATAACTAATATAATTGTGCTCGGAATTTTGCCCAGTTATTTAAAAATTTATCTCTGACCGTTTCCCAAATATGGTTAAATGGAGAAAAAGTAGCGCTATTCTGGACACCATTAGATTGCATGAAATCGAAAATGCTGATGTATGTAGTTACTTTTATCTAGGACGCCCAATGTAAGACAAAAATTTTCACTTTTCTGCAAGTTCAATTGTTTTTTTGGACTAAATTTTTAAATAAGCTACCTTGTGTCTTTTGTTTATCGTGATACAATATTACATTCTGAGTACCGGGTGACCCAATAGGACTGTTCCTCGGCCATATCTCAGGAACCGTAGCGTCGTATGGCTTAGGGGTAAAAAAATTATTGGGTAAATCGGTTATGAAGAATCGCTGGAAAATATTTTCAAGTTCTAAAAATGGCCACCAGAGGGCGTCACTGCCTTCTTAAATTTTAAAATTGCATTTTCTTTAAATTTCGCATAATAAACTAAACATTCTTTTTTCACATTTTTAAAGAGAACCAGTTTATCTATCATTTTTGTAAAAACAAAAACTCAGTTATTTCAAAAACAAAGATGGCGTGGGGCGTAGCGTTCAATTGTTTTTGCAATAACCTGCTGTAACTTCTTAAAGGTTTGATCGATTTTAACAAATTTGGTATCGTTGGAAAGAGCATTCCTTGGGCAACAAGAATCAACCAATATAGTTAATTTAGTTGAATCCTTTTCCGCCAGGGGGCTAGTTTTGACAGTATGATCCAAAATCCTAAACAAATCAAATGGAATGATACGACTGACGGCGATGGTGCGGATAACGCAAATAGAAGATGGGGGCAGCGATGGTCGCAGTTTGAAAATACTCAAAATATATCGCCATTTTTTCATAAAGAAAAAGTCATATCATTCCATTTGATTTTTTTAGGATTTTGGATCATAGTGTCAAAACTAGCCCCCTGGCGGAGAAGGATTCAACTAAATTAACTACATTCTGGTTGATTCTTATTGCCCAAGGAATGCTCTTTTCAACCATACCAAATTTGTTAAAATCGATCAAACCGTTAAGAAGTTAAAGCAGGTTATTGCTAAAACAATTGAACGCCCCCCCCCCCTCCACACCATCTTTGTTTTTGAAATAGCTGAGTTTTTGTTTTTTATGAAAATGATAGATAAATAGGTTCTCTTTAAAAATGTGAAAAAATTTTGTTTAGTTTATTATGCGAAATTTAAAGAAAATGCAATTTTAAAATTTAAGATGACAGTTACGCCCTCTGTTGGTCATTTTTAGAACTTGAAAATATTTTCCAGCGATTTTTCATGACCGATTTACACAATAATTTTTTTACCCCCAAGTCGTATGATGAACGGTTTTCGAGATATGGCCGAGGAACAATCATATTGGGTCACCCGGTACAATGACACCGCACTTTCTTTTCAGATGGTAAATCGAGAGTGCTTATTGCTAGCTTAAAATGGTTAATGTGTGGGCAAGTAACCTATGAAAAATACATTTTGTACTTTTTTGCAACCATAACACATTAATTTGAGATATAGACATGAAAATTAGAATTTGAAATGATCTTATGTTTTCGTCATCTGTGATGTGGTCTCTCTCTCTCTTTCTCTCTCTTTTACTTTTATTTTTATTTTGGGGTTTTTTTGTTTAACGTTTTGAATATAGAAATCACATTTCAATTTGGTCAATAACGGGCGAGGTTTATCAGTTTATTTTGAATCAACTTTTACTGATACTTTTGGTAAATGTTGACTTTACCTAGACAGAGTCAACTCTCCTCCGGATTTACCAATCTCTTGTTTTACATTTTTTAGCGCAGTTTCCAACGAAGTTGGGTGCGCTACTGCAGCCATTTTCTCTGTCCGTCCGCCTGTCCGAGGCCTTAACTACTCCTACAGTTTTCAAGATATTAAGTTCATTCTTTTTGCATTCGGTAGCGTATAGCTCTAGCACCTGAGCCAAGGAAAATCTTTAAACTTCGCAATGTCGACTTCCTTATTTGTTAATGTATTTTGTTGAACTTTTAACCACAGATACTTCTGGTGAAGGCAAATATATCGCATATAGTAAAAATCAGTTGTGCGCATGCGCAGACTGCGCAATGGCAGCTTTCTTATTTATGGAGGTATTTCTTTGAAATTTTACCCAAAGATGCTTTTAGTGTAAGCAAACGTATCGCATATTGTAAACATCAGATTGATGCGCAGGATGCGCAATATCAACTGTTATTTATCGAGATATCTTTTTGTTAATCACAGATGCTTCTTCTTCTAAAGGCTGATAAATAACTGATATTGCAAAAATTAGATGTGCGCATGCGCAGTGCCAACTTCTTTATTTATTTATTTATCATTTTCTTTGACATTTTAACCATAGATGCTTGTAGTAAAGAAAAACATATCACATCGATATCAAATTCACGCATGCGCAGACTGCAAAATGCCAACTTTTTTACTTAATGAATATCTCTTTCTAATACCTATAGCATAAATTAAATGTGTTTATGGAGATATTTCTTTGAAATTTTAACCATATATGTCTCTAGTAAAGAAAATCACAGCGCACATAGCTCTATGGCCTTTTGGAAAGTACTGATCATTCATGGAAAATGCGCTGAAGTTACTCGCCTTAGGGCGAAAACCTTTTTACTTGTTTTAATTTTTTATGGTTCCAAGTTACATTTGAAAAAATGGATTGAAACCAAAAATTATGATTTTTCAAACTTCTAAAGGTAAGTTCATAGCTCTCCGTTCATACGTTTCCGTTTGTCCGTTAGCCAATCAGAAGACAGCAAATTTTTAAATCGTACGTCGTCCGTTTACGACGGAAAAGTTGGTTGAAGTTGAACATTTACGTTTCCGTTGGTCCGTTTTTAACAAGAGTGAGGTTATGTTTGGTACGTTAACAGCGTTCGCCTATTCGTTTTTCACGGTAATAATCAGATAGCAACGTATTCTTACTTTCGTACCATTTTTACATACTGAAAATCACGGAGGGTACAGTACAAAATAAAATTTAGGTTATGGTTATACGTTGCAAATGTACAATGTCGACAGATTGCTATGAACCTTAACAAAATTTTCTATCCGTTTGACGGATCAACGCAACGGATGAACGGAGAACTATGAACCCACCTTGATGCTTCTGTAATGGTGTGTATAGACAAAAGGGTGCAAAATGTACATGTGCATATCGCCTACTTTAAATGGTTCAAAGCACTAAACAAAATAAACCATCTGTCAAAAACTGACAAGTGAATTTGATATCAAAATCATTGAGTTAGAAACTAATGGAGGGAATCAAATGCTTGGCCAGACGTAGACCACGGGAACCAAAAGTGGCCTCTAGCTGTGATTAAAGTACCACACCACTTCCGTTATCATTAGCGTCTCACTTCAGTGGCGTAGAGATATAATTTTCTTTCCACTAATAGGAATAATAACAAAAAAAACGTATAGAAGGAGTAAAATACATGCTCGTGGTAAATTAAACAAAATAGACAAAGATGGGAAAGTATGCAGATTTAATATAATCATTGATTACAAATCTAAATATACATCAATGTGTTCCACTAGTATAATTAAGGCCAGTTTACTATAGCCAGTACAACTTGACAACTCCCATTAAATTCACTGTGTTGATCAATAGCTACAATTGATTGGTTGGTCTCAGGTTCATTACAACGGCAGAGAGATTCAATAATAATTTATTGTTTATTGGTCTCAAAATGTATCCGCACTCGTAAAAAAACTTACACCTGATATCCATATTATAAACTCACACGTTTAGCTGTAAAAACAAGTTTTGATAGTACCTACTGCATATTTGACGAGATATTTGATGAACATTTTCCAGTGCAACCTTTGGTCGAAATCACAGTCAATGAAGCGTTGTGAGCACAAAAGCAAATTTCGAGAGCTGTTCTTGAGATATTTAGAAATGTTAGGTAACCATTTTGCTCGAAGTACCGGTTCGTTTGGAAAACTAAGAAACATAAACTAGGTACCTACAACCTCGCCTACAACATGATAAATGGCATGTCTTACCGATGAAAGGAACTGCCCTGTTTCTTCCCTTTATGAGAAATTTTGCATGATACGCAGCTAATCATTCTCAATTCACAAAATTGCGTGTGATAAAAACACTATGTGGCAGTTAGTTATTTATATAAACCAGAGCACAAACCGATCCGAAATTATTAGGTACCTACTTTAAAATGGCAAATTTAATAAAATTTGAATTTGGTGGAAAACTGACAGTGACAGGACCCGCGTTTTCATATGTCAAATAATGTCGGCCAAAATGTACCTTCACGGGAACCGATCCACGCGAGTGGCCTCTATCTGTGGCAACTTCCGTCTACAAAAATTCTTACCCCCTCTACCATTATATTCCCTCCATTAGTTTTCTAACTCAATGATCAAAATAAACCAAAAATACAGGGTGTCTCATTTAAAAATGGAAAATTAAACCAATTTCTGGCACTGAATCATAAAAATGCCATTAGCATTAGTAATTTAAAATTTCCGCTTCTTTTATATCTCAAATAACCTCATAACCTCAAATAATACCCCTCTAGTTAACAAACGGCTACATAGAGTAACTGTGGTGACGGTGGGCATGTACTCAAAGTTTTTGTGTAATAAAAAAATTTGAACCTGCAAATAACCTAATGATTGGTACACATTTTTGTGAAGAAAATTTTCATACCAAAGAATCAAACCCGAACTGTCCTGGCATACATCGTGACTGAACCGAGTTCACATATTAAAAAAAGTTGAGAGGAAGGAGCACCTAAAAGACGCATGCCCAACGTTGCCATAGTTACTCTCTGTATCCGCTAATCCTATTTATAATATACCCTAATTCTTCCTATCAAAATTAACCACTTGTAACGTTTTCAATTTTACATCAGCACAGTATAATTAAAGATAGCATTATATGTAATGATATAGGTACTTGATATTAATTTATTTCTTAGGAGAAGAATCGCACCCCTTACAAACTCTACACGCCTCCCTACATACTGGCGCCAATCAAGGAAAAAGTGGAACCCATCGAGTCGTTCGGCCTACCAAGTTCCGAGCAAGGATGCGTGCTGTATTTAAGTTATTGTCTTTCCGAAGATCAAAGTTGGCTCTTGGCCGTAACGACCGACGAAAGAGGGGAGATATTCGAAACCGTAACCATCAACGTAGATATACCGAATCGGAGTAGACGGAAAAAGGCGTCGGCTCGGAGATTTGGACTACAAAAGTTGATGGATTGGGCGCTAGGTATTATGTCGTTGAGTGTAAAGTCGTGGCGTTTAGTTGTAGGCAGGGTGGGTCGTATCGGTCACGGCGAACTCAAGGGCTGGAGCTGGCTGTTGAGCAGAAAGAACTTGTTGAAGGCGTCGAAACACCTAAAGGAAATTTGTAATCAGTGTTCCCTAATTTATCCGACCAGTGTACCATGTATACTCAGTGCGTGTCTAGTTAGTTTAGAGCCGGATTCCGCCCTGAGGTTAATGCCGGATCAGTTTACGCCTGACGAACGTTTTAGCCAGGCTAGCGTGAATTCGCAGCTTTCTACACCCCAAGATGTGACCTGTACACATATTTTGGTATTCCCCACCAGTGCGACGACGCAATCGTCCCAAACTGCTTTCCAAGAACAGCACATAAATGGACCGGAATTGGGAGACGAAGACTTATTTAATGCATTACACGATGACATGCCCGAGGGTATTGACGGAATGAACGACTTTAGCGACATTTTTAACTGGACGGAGGCGGGTACCGGAGGTGGACAAAGTCCAACTGGAAGTCCGAGACGGGAGGAATCTCGTCCTGGCAGCCCTACCGGGTGTATGAATGGGGCGGGTCGTACCGGTAGCCCTTTTCCTTGCGTGCCCAACTCAAGAAACGGAGAAATGGCAGAAGAAGTTGGCACCCTTCTGCAGCAACCTTTAGCACTTGGTTACCTTGTGTCTACCGCGCCCACTGGACGTATGCCCAAGTGGTTTTGGGCGTCCTGTCCGCACCTGGAGGAAGTCTGTCCGGCATTTCTCAAGAATGCGTTGCACCTACACAGTCCTTCCATTCAACAGAGTTCGGACGATTTATTGCAACAGTCGGCCGTTACTTCGCATCCACTCGATTCTCAATATACCACGGATGTTTTAAGGTAAGAACAGCGTGCGTTTTGCATTGTGGCGAGACTTAAACGGTTGGGAAATTTAAGTCATTATTTTTCAATATCTTTTCTCGCTATATTAAAACTGGGGAAGTGAAGGGGATTTTGCAATTTATGAAGGACCAATTGCATGGCCACTCTCATTTCCTAACATGTGCTACTGTTTAACTTGTCGATGTCAATCTATCATTGGTTTATGGTATGACTTTGATCTCATTGTTGAATAGTGTCACTCAAACAAGTATTGGGGTTTGGATCAAGGTCTTGACCGATTACATAATTAAGGAGTGACCTTGTTTTATGGTGCATGAGCGTGCCCTGGCAAAAATAGGCTAAAAATACGTGTCTTTGATGAGGGAGATTTCCTGGTTCATCATCTCAAATTTGACCAGCATCGAATAAATAGCATTAGGATGCCGAAAAGGTACTTCTTGTAACGGTAGAGGCCATTTTGGATGTACACATTTGTAATTCTTTCTTGAACTTTCATTGTAAATGTAATAGATTTTGAATATTATTGGAAAATAGTAGGGTGTCTAAATTTAGATACTAAATTTGTCCAATAAAAAATCGTCTGTGGTGGAATTTCACTAATGACAAATGAAGGCTCCTCTGTAGTCAATCCGCCATATTGGAAAAATAGCTAATCTTTCTTATGAAATGCTGCTTTTGTAGTTGAAGTCTAACAAATTCTCGATATTGGATATTCTTTGCAATGATGAAAACAACGGCGGTACTTAAAAAAATTGAAATATCAGTCTTAGTTTTTTAAGAAGATTGATGAATTTTAGAAAAATCGTTTTTTGTAGATAACAGCCGTTGTAATGAGGGTAGAAAAACATACAGCACCAATTTGGAAATCCGACAGTATTTTTTACGGCGGTATTTAAAGATATTATTTCCATCTATTATGATAAGGCATATATTTTAAAAAATATGTTTCGCGATCTTCAGAAAAAAATCAAAACGCTAACGTAAGGATAGGCAACTCAAATTGCACTTGAAAGGGAAAACAAAAGAAACTACCTGGCATTACCCTACACATTGTTACGCCGTTCCTAATGATATGGATTAGATAAATTACTATTTCTTATTTATTTATTTATAATAATAATAATAATAATGCCTTTATTACGAAATTATATAATGTAAATAAAATTAAAACGAAAATAATCTAGGCGGAGTTCAACACGTTGACCTGGACAAACAACTGTTGCTCTACTACTCAACCTAGTGTATCATTCACACGTTATACACATACATATAAAATAAAATTTTTTTTTTTTTACAAATCTAATATGATTGCTCACTTAATAACCTACACTTCATGTTTTTTTTAAAAGACGATAACGAAGGAGAATTTTTGAATATATTAAAATATCTATTGTAGCAGGTAGTAAACTGATAAATAAATGACCGTTCGAAAAAGTGAGTATTGTGAAGAGGGTCATCATCATTTGAATGCTGTTGATTTGTAAATCATAATGTCACATATTCCCAAGACGAAAAATTCAAATATGACTAAATTACACGTTTGTGTATATTTCCCATCTAAAATTATCAGTTTCCTCAGATAGTCCAGTATGCGGAGCAGTCAGAAGGGCCGATTCCTGCAAAATGTGGTGTAAACGATTTTAACGTTTTAAATGGTCCATTTGGGTCCAAATAACATGTATTTGAAGAGTGCACACCAATTTTTTCCCGGCACAACTTTTGGCAACCAAAAAACCTCAAAACATTCGGACTTTTTTCAGTTTTTCGCTTAAAACTCGAAAACGGTCCATATTTTATGAATAACACTTCTTTAGTAAATTAAAGAAAACAAAATTCTGCGTCGATAAAAAAAAACCAACAAAATCGGTCCAATAGAAAAATTTTTACAAGCGATCAAAAAACCCCCATTTTTTCCAACTTTTCTAAAGAACTGAGTTAACCTTTTTTTAATGCGTTGTGACTCCTAAAGGAACGATACAATCAACTACCCCCCCTCCCTAAAGATTGTAGAACATCAATAAGAGAGTTGAAAAAGTACCAACAATTTAAAATTGGACCAATTTTTGAAATTCGTTGGAAAAATGGGCGTTTTTTGATCGCTTGTAAAAATTTTTCTATTGGACCGATTTTGTTTGTTTTTTTTTATCGACGCATAATTTTGTTTTCTTTACTAAAGAAGTGTTATTCATAAAATATGGACCGTTTTCGAGTTTTAAGCGAAAAACTAAAAAAATGCCAAAAATTTTGAGGTTTTTTGGCTGCCAAAAGTTGTGACGGAAAAAAATTCGTGTGTTCAAATACATGTTATTTGGACCCAAATGGACCATTTAAAACAATAAAATCTTTTACACCACCTTTTGCAGGTTAAAATTATCTGCATACTGGACTAAGAGTAAGTCTTCGTGAAAATGATCTATTTCGAGAAATGCGACCAAAAACAATAGATGCACATGCCCTTTGCTTTACAAAAAGTTGCGCCCAATAGATAACAAATGACACATAGGCATTTTTTCACTTATTAGCGGAACATAAACATAGGAAACGTCGTGGTATGTTATATAAAAGAAACGCTACCGATATAAATATAATTCCCCTTTTATTTTATTTTTACCATTGAATTCAGGGCAAAAAAGTGAAGTCATCTTACCGCACAAAATATGTTCGGAAAAATTCTCCATGGGTCGTGCATAGATATAAATAAGTAATACGCTAAATGTACAATTGTTATTAATTTTTGAAAAGATAAGGATTTATTTAGAATCACTATAAATGTTATACCACAGATCTACACATACACAGATTGCTAACCTTATACATTTTTTGGGAAACAAATTTAGGTATACTTAAAAGCGCCCTCTATTGCGGAGCAGTATAATCATGTACCGTTTAAAACTGTAATATGACGCTTATGGATTTACGCATTAGATGTCGCTGCAAAAAATTTAAAGTGGTAAAGTGTGCATATAATCCAGTTTAATTGTATTTTTACCAGGAAAGTTGTGGGGTAGTTTTGATTTCTTTGATTCTATATGTTTTTTGGGGTGCTGAATCCGAATCTGAGGTTTGCTAACAAAATTTCATGACGCAACATTGAAAAAAATACAAAAAAAGTTGAATAAGATATTTTTTTAGCAGTTTTGTGCTTACAACTCGAAAACTATCAACTTTTCGAAAATAACCTCCCTATCTTATATCTTATCGGCGTGGTAAAGAGTGTAACGTTAATGATGGCAGAGATATACATAGTTTGTAAGTATGCCTTTGCGGTTAGCAATTTGTCAAGACCTTTAAAGCCGCAAATACTGTCCGCCAACTTCAAAAAACCTTTACGATTCTTTAAGAACCTGCCCTATGTTCGTGTGTATCTGTGACCACAGGGACCCGCTTTTAATATCTCCCTTACGACGAATGAGTAGCTTCAGTGTTAAATTAAACAATTATGGCTCAACGTACCTCCTATCATATCATACCACTGTAATAGTACGAATATTAAGGAATTCGAATTGTGCAAACTTTAGCGCTTTAATTTTGTTTCAGCGATATCTAACGCATAAATCCATAAGTGTCATATTACAGTTTTAAACGATACATGTTTATACTGCTCCGCAATAGAGGGCGCTTTTAAGTATACCTAAATTTGTTTCCCAAAAAATGCATAAGGTTAGCAATCTGTGTATGTGTAGATCTGTGGTTATACTTTTAATCATTGTAACAGAATTTTAAATGTTGGCTACCATTTTTATGAAAAACATACAATTTTTGTTGTTGTTCACCCTTGTATAAAAGTAAAAATGATTTATTTTAGGTGTTCGAAGTGCCGGTTTTTTTAGGATCTACCATACCTAAGTGAATTCATTCATGCACATGTACCTAATAACTATAAAAATCTATAAATCAGTAAAAATGATTAGAACAAATCACAAGAAATAAAGGGGTAATTAAAAAATGATAATCTAGTCCACTAATTACCCGAAAACCAGTTAATTTACAAAAGGTGTCATTATAGAAAAATGTAGTAAATGCATTGAATAAGTAATTTATTCAACGGTAACAGAAATAGGTATTTGTGCATCTCCAGTCAAATATTGTACAGCTTTTCGTTAGTCCTTGATCATTATACATGGTCTATTGTGTTTAACAATAAACAAAGAGAATATGCAAAACTGAGAAGGATAGATACACCGTTGGTTTCACTCAAGGAGATCATGTAGCAGTGTGTATTGTTGGTGGTCTAACCAATTGCAATAACACTGAAATACAAATTGACTACAGAGGAGCCTTAAACCAAGTGAAGTCCTTTTTTGCATCAGTCGGGTTTCTTTTATCAATTAGTTCAGAATATTACGGGGCCAGTATAGCGCGAGTGGATCTCAAATTTATTCTTTTTTAATGCCTATATAAAGTTACAGTTTGTATTATATCGTAAAACCAAAATCACAGTGGAAACCTTTGAGTCGGCTTGTTCTGAGAAAAATATGGGATTAATTTGACCCTCAAACTAATTTGGGATTGGTTGAAACAAGATCCGTAAACAATCAAAATTAATTATTGGCCACCTTCATTCACAATCCGCCATTTTTGGGTGGGTTTAATTATTTAAAGATTGAGTGGGAATTAGTCTGGAGAATTTGGAAAATTCTCAATTTTGGCTTTGGGCACACAGATTCGGCCCCTCCCACTGTGGACGAGGGAGTGCTACGTTTTTTCTTTACATTTGCATTAACTTACTTCTAAACATTCGGCAACATCAAGTTCTTTTGGTCTTGTGTTTGTGTCTGAAGTTGTTTCTGTGGTTGTGGGGAATGATGCTTCTTAATTGCGGCTCAAAAGAAATTGCTGTTTAATATCAAGAGCGTCATGCGAGAAGATTCCTGCAGAAAGGGCGTATGGCTAGTTGTCATCAGAGAGTGGGAATTTCTATTTAAATACCCACTGATTTTTGTAGGAGTAAACAGCTAAAAGTATGTATCAGTTGTTGTGGCATTCAGAGCGTATAAATAAGTAGCCCATACATAACCTCACTCTCTAACGCAAGATATTTAGAAATTAGCGAACTTTTATTCATATATGTTTTTTGTGAAATAAGTGTCGTTCAGTTCTTAATTCTGTTATGTTTGTTTATTTGCGGTTCTAGAAAAATTCCTAAAGGGTGTAAGATCAAAAATATAGTGTGATTGTTTTTTTATTCAATAATTCACAGAACTTACTAGAACATATTCACTATACTGTATTCATTTTAAGAAGGTAGAGCTAGAACGCATATGGAAGCTTTGATCTTCACTGTGATTGGTCAAAACACGAGTCAGTGTTATGCTGAAACATAAAATAACAGGCGAATTTTGTAAGCTGGTAGTTTATGTTGCCAATTATACTAACGAAGTGTTATTGGCTGTTAATGTCAAAACATTTATTTCTGTTCGCAGTGCTGGATATTTCTACTTTACAATAATTTGGTGCCGTTTTATATTTTTACTGTGTGTGTTTATCTTCAAACATAGTGCCATCTAGTACCTTCTTATAATGAATGGAGTATAGTAATGAGAAATAACCACCCTAAATTAAATTTCAGTAGAATAATGAATTTGTGAAATCATTTTTTCATTTTCTAAAAACTTTTTGTTGGTAAGCGTGTCTCGCATGACGCCCTTGAAGATATGTAGTGATTTTGCAGTCGCATAGAATCTTAAATTAATTTGACACACGCCCTCTCTACAAATGTAGCAACCTTCATTGCCCTTCTGTACAAACTAAAGTGCTCAAGGGGAGGAATGCCCTGTGGAGTTTAAGTATCCATTCTGTCCTGGGCAAATGAGTTCCACCACGTTAAAATGTTTTCCATGGAATTTTTCTGACATCAGAGAATTTGACTCGTAGTAAATAAGTAATTATTTGCAATTGTTTTAGGTACGTACTAGAAGGTTACAACGCACTGTCCTGGCTGGCGATGGACTCAAATACTCAGGATCGTCTATCGTGCTTGCCGGTTCACATACAAGTATTAGTTCAGTTGTACCACATGACGGCCGCTCTACTCTAAAACACTGAAGTAGTACTCTAAAAGATACTCCTAGCTTTAAATTTTAAATCGCTACCAAGATGTAAAAAAGAAAAATACTCATAGGTTGACAAAATAATATATTTTTAATACAATTGTGTATATATTAGTTTTTAGCCATGTATTACTAATTATAATTTCCGAACGTAATGTTTTTGTACAAAGAAATTGTGATATGTGATAATTATGTTAAATGTGAAAGGAGATCGTAATCGCTTGTGCTTCTCGGACGGGTGGCGTCCGAACGAGTATCCAATTGAACGTAGTAGGCGTTGTTTTCTAATTATGTTTCGCACCGATCAGAAATTGTATCCAATCTCCGCCGAATTACTAATTAAGACAACGTACTGCCAGTTTTACTTCAGTGTTTTATTGTAGAATGTCTTTGTTTCCGATTTTATGTGTATATAAGTGTACAAATGACAGTTTTTTAAACGGGGAGATAATGTGTTAAAAGGGCTATAAGCTTCGAGTCAAACTTGTAACTTGTTTATATTTGAGAAATGTTTTTAACGTGTTTTATGTAAACATTTGCAGCAATATTAATGGGTAACGATAGTGTCATTTAGTTTAATTTGCCAAAGAGAGAGTGGGAAGGAAATAGACAGACACCTTGGGTACAATGATTGTTGTCCAATGTACATAGAAAAAAAGATACAAATAAAATAGAGTAATTTGTATATAAATTTAAATAATCAAAAATGTTTTGCGCAACCAATCCCAAATTTAAAAAAAATTGCTAATGTAGTTTAGCAAAGTGTTGATTCGTGTACGTATTAACTTTAATAATATATATTTAAAAAAAACAATGTTTTAGTGTAACTAAGGAACTGGGGCCAAAAACAAACCAACGTATCTTATTCAAGTTGCCTCAGAAAATGGTACCTAGAATGTTCGCAATTGTGCGATTTAGCAGTTGTGCACATTTTACAAGCAAAGGCCTGCATGTTTTGTTACCTGTTAGAGTAGTGAAAATTTGTGTTATTGGAGTTCCTTGTATGAAGAAAGCTATATTTTTCCGAAACTGTCAGTCTTTCGGTTGAAAATTGTTAACAATGTATGTTTTTCGTCCAGTTTCGGATTGCCTCCGTAAATTTTGTTTGTTCAAAATGATCCTTCCATTTCTGTGTGACAGTATTTCTCAAAAACAATCACTATCTTGTCTTTCCTTTTTCAAATAAATGACGATAATAATAATAATAGCGTAATTACAATGATCTTACTTACGTTTACGAAATATTCTTATAATTTATACACTTATTTAACTGAACCCCGAATATTTTATAGTAAATATATATTTTTATTGTGAACGGTATAGGACTGTTATTTGTTTTTAATATCTAGATGCGTTTTTATTCAAGGTAATGTATATAATAGTTACTGTTGTAAGAATATGTCAATTTTAGGGAATTGGGATTATTATTATTATTATGATAGTTAAATGAATTTGTAAATATTTTATTGATATGAACTAGTTGAATTAGTAAATACACATAAAATGTTAATAACTTTATAAATAATTATATACATATTAGTTAGGAATTATTAATAAAGTACTCGTTGAGTATTGAAAAATTAAAACATAATCATTTGTTAGTATTAGATCACAATTTTCTTGGGCTCTTCAAAGAAACAACACTCGGGTTATTACAATTCTATATAATGTGTAGATGAGAAAAAGGGAAAAAAGAGCAATAGCTGATGACAATTTTTGTGCCTCAACGGGCATTCTTATCGTTATCAGTCCCCTTTCTTCCATTGTCTATGATCTAAACCTTTAAAAATGGAAGAATAAATTTAGAAAATCGTAGTTCACCCGAGTCAAATGCAAAAACAGGCTGAAAAAAAGAGCAGATCAAAGAGAAAAGCCAGCCAACAACTGATATATTGATAATGGATTGAATGGTCGTCAAGTAAATTTATGATATACCGAATCATAGGCTCCAATGGAATTCCTAAATAATTAATATTTGACACATAGAAAGAACAAATATAATAAATTCACATAATGGGGGCATCCCGGTATCATTTTTTATTTCTGATCTGCGAAGTACATTCAAAATAAAAAGATCAGTGTATCCTCAATAAAATAAACTCAAAATGTATTATTGAAAAACTGTGTTTTTAATCCGAATTTGAAACGCTTCAGTCTAACTACGTCACAAACCTACAACCAATCACGTAGAAGTGAGCTGGCAACCTTGTGCAAGGCTCAAACTTCCACGTGAAAGTGAATGATAAGTGACAGGGCCTGTGGCATTCTTCTCCTGCAATATTGCCAAGTCATGATATGATATCAAAGTTGTCGCGTGTGGATGCAATAAAATAAAGACCAATCACCTGAGTAATGTTTGAAGCCCCCACCGTAACAATAACCACTTGACACAAAAATAACAACTGCCCTTACCCGATGTTCAAAAAATTTCCCTTAAAACAAATCCTAGTCGAAAATCAAAATATATTATTCAAAGAATATCATTCTTTTCAAAAACATCCATTCACAAGCCTTAACAACATGACTTTTTCGCAGCAGTGGAGTACCGTTTGAAGATATCCCTTCAACTTCTCCGTATACCGCCGCCTATGGAATCTAAAATTGGAAAATAGTCATGGCGTCCAGTGAAAATATTTTCAATAACCTCTCCTCAAATTTTTCACAACTTTCTTACGGCCGGACAAAAGGGGACATTTCTCAGATAAATCGCATTCTCGACGAGATAAACGGCTTAGATTACCGATATCCTTTGGTTACGAACAAAACTGTAAGTTCCCAACTATTCATAACCTCAATCTCACCCATTTCTGGCAGAGAGCGGTCCTACTCGTCAACCAGTGCTGCTCCCTTATACCACATGACGAATCCGATTTAGTATCTAAGTGTTGTCGTTTAATAACCAACCTCGTCGTACACCAACGAATCGAAATCGAGGGACAGACGCTATCGCTCGTCGCGCAGTGGTGCCTACTAGCAATTAAACATACTCCTTCTACCAATGCGGAAATTCTAGGGGTGCTTAAAGCTCTACTAACTTGTAATGAAAAAAATTCACTACACGTACGTACTCTGATGTGATCTGCACGATTTGATGGATCAGTTGTTTTTAGCTTTTATCACTAATAATATGCAGTGACAGTCCCGTACTATCTGTAGCTTGTGGAAGTTATCTGGAAACTGCGCTAACCGCAGTACAATGTCTGGAAGCTTGTACGTACTGCGACGAACTTAGGACTGCAAACATAAAATCTGAACTCGAATTAGCCTCCACCATCTTTTTGAAGTATCTCACACAAGAACCAAAAGTTGACAGCATACTGTATAATAAGGTGGTGTTTGATTTTAATCAAGGGGTTGTTCACTATCGTAAAAGCGTACATTTCACACTCATTGTGCAATAATTGGCATGGTACATGGCTCACACACAGGCGATAAGTAATAAGCCTTAGCAATGACAATAATGCTTATATGTTGATGAGATGCTGTGCATAATATACCATGGTGCATAGTGCCATGGTTAGTAGGCACAGTTAGAAAAATATAGCCAAGTCATTGAATTTATACATTTAGTGTCTGTGGAATGTTTTATTTTTAAATGGCAACAGTATACTTCATTGAGCAGGACCACGGTAGTCGTTGGTACACCCCCTTTATCTCCATTAGTTTTGAAGATGTTTACTGAAATTTGAAACATGGTGTACATAACAAGAATTTCATAACATGGTTCACTTTGAATAAATGGCAATGATTATTTCCATGGCAAACTAAGCAAATATTTTTTTATAATGGTTGTTTCTACTTTCATGTACAGTATTGTAAACACCCTGTAGGTTATTGACAAATTTTCAAAGGATCCTAAGCTAAATAAGCATACACTAATAAACTTCAAGAGATTTGGTGTACAGTACAACCTCGATAATCCGAATACACGCTAGTCCGAAATCGCGATAGTCCGAAATAATTTCGTTCCTCGTAACAACGATGACACCCCTGAAGGCGTTGAAAAGAATAAAGTTTATTTCTTAATGCTTGTTTCCAAATTTATTATTTTCACTAGTTTCGCGATAATCCGAAAATTTGATAATCCGAAAGGGCGGTGGTCCGAATCTATTCGGATTCACGAGGTTGTATTTGGTTTTGATGACACATACGAATAGTATTTTTTTGAACAATATTAAAATTTTGAAACTAAAGTTTTTGTATACATGCGATGCATAACAAAAAATATGCAACATTTTTAGATCACTCCATTATAAGATGTAGAGTGTTTACATTATGTGTCTCTTATCACATTTATGGAGCACCCTGTACATACAAAAATTTTTTTGCGTCATGCACATTAGACTAACATAGAAAACTATAAATCTAAAATCTTGTCTTAAAATGCTCTTAATTAATTAAAAATATACAAGTAGGTTTATTTGTCATACATAGCATTAGAATTGTGGAATCCTGAATCCAAATTGAATCAGGCTAGTGCTTTGTTATAGACCATCGCCTACTACATGTCGCCGAAAAATTAAAATGAATTTTTTGTTTTATAGGCGATAGTTTGATTATCATAAGAGATATGAAAAAAGTTGCCCATTTCCACGTAGGCATCAGTGGCGTAGAAATAATTTTTAAAACCACTACAGTTTTTAAGAAATGGCACCATATTAAACATTTTTTAATGGAAGCAGTATTATGTATACAAAGGAAAATAGGTTATGGCTGTGCTTACAATTTCAAAGAAATTCCATAAATAAGCAAGTTGATATTGCGTAGTTTTACGCATGCGCACATCTGGTTTTTTTTACTATATGTAATATGCTTGACTTTATAGAAGCATCTGTGGTTAAAATTTCAAAGAAATATCGCCATAAATAAGAAAGTTCAGATTGCGCATGTGCAGGTGCACGTCTGATTTTTACAATGTGCGATATGCTTGCCTTTACTAGAAGCATCTGAGGTTAAAATTTCAAAGAAATGAATAAAATACTTGAGCGCTCAATTATTTTATTCATAGCATCCTTATAATTCAAAATGGAGCAATTCATCGATAATTCCAAAGAAATATCTCCATAAATAAGAAAGTTGACCGACTGCGCATGCGCACATTAATCGTCAAAATTTTTCTTGGTTAAGGGGCCAGACCTGTAAGCTACCGAATGCAAAAAGAACTTAAAAACTGTAGGAGTAGTATAAAAATACATAAGAATTTGAAGATGATCATTTTTGAGGAAAACCCAAAAAAAACTTTCATTTGCTAGGAGGTCTTGCATACCACAAAATACCTCGGTGATATGTCCCTCCCCAAAAACGTCGAAGGTTAGTTGCACTTATGATCATTTTCGAGGGACAGCCACCAAAACTTTCTGTTTCGGTAAGCAAGTTACCTGTAAAATGTACACCAAATACCATAGTGGATAACAGTTCGATTCGGTTGGAGTAGGGCTGTTGTGTCTACGATGGTAGAGATGATCAAATATGTCCCAGAATTTATATACACGCTTTACACTCCCCAAACATGTGGCATGTAAAATTTCAACCCCCTACGACCACGTATAAGGGTAGGTACAGTGGCACCACGCTCAGAAAGTCCCTGACAGGGCGTGTCCGAGGGCGCTAGAAATTTAGACCGTACATTCTGATGCAAAATTTAAAAACACTTTAAGGGAATTACATACCCTATCAGATTGTAGATCCAAGCTATATGCGTCTTGAAAGAGACGAGTTTGTATAAAACTGGAGACGGAAAACGTAAAATAAAGCAAATACAACAGGAAAAGTGTAAACTAAAATAACGTGAAGCGTCAACTGTCAAAACGGAATAATGAATAATTATGGTGCGGAATGCATCGCGTCGTTTTGCTGACTTTCTATTGGCCAGCTTGAATTATTTCAAAATTAGTTCGCATATTTTCCGGGGCTTTTCTGAGCATGGTGGCACTGTAGGTATAGAGGTGGCAGGTTGAAAAAACATTTTTATAAAAGAAGAGGGGTGTCATAATTTTTTTGTCATCTTGTACCTACAGGATGAGTCAACGATTGCGCAGAGTAACTTAATGCCTTGAAGATAAGATTTTTCGATGGAGTATTTGGAATTATACAGGGTGTGCTCACAAAGTAGGGCGCCAAAATGGTACATTTTTTTAAATAGAACCCCCTGTATTTGAATGCATTTTTGAATTCTACGTGTATTTGTACGTCTTTTTTATTATAAGGTTAATATCCGAGAAACTATTTTTTTTTAGTAGTAGTTTTAAAGATGATTAGATTTTTAAGAAAAATTGGGCATTTGCAAGCGTCAGTATATTGTCAAAATTATTACTTAAATTTTGATTCTAGGTTTTATATCTTTTATCCTGGGTTAAGTAAAAGTCAAATAAATACATCTACTATGAAACATTAAAAAAATAGCTTACAGGGTGTTTTTTTTTGGTAGATCCAAAGTTACAAAACTTCATATTAAAAAATCTCACTTTTTTAAACGAACACCCTGTATATTTTTCTGTCATCTTTTAGCTCCAAAAACCTTCAACTTTTGATAATAATGCGCTATAACCATCTTTGATAGTTTTCGAAATATCTGGAGAACATTTGACTAAAAAGCAAATTTAATTTAACTCCTAATGTCATCCAGTTAGTGACAGTTTCATTTTTTTTCATATTCACCTCGTTATTATGTAAATTAGAACTTATTTCAGATTAAAATATAAAGACCAGGAAAACCAAGATATTTCGAAAACTATCAGAGATAGTTATAGGACATTATTACTAAAAGCTGAAGGTTTTTGGAGAAGCTAAAAGATGACAGAAAAATATACAGGGTGTTCCATTTAAAAAAAGTGAGATTTTTTAATATGAAGTTTTGCAACTTTGGACCTACCAAAAAAACCACCCTGTAAGCTATTTTTTTAATCTTTCATAGGAGATGTATTTATTTGACGTTTAGTTAACCCATGATAAAAGATATAAAACCTGGAATCAAAATTTAAGTACATAATAATTTTGACAATATACTGACGCTTGCAAATGCCCAATTTTTCTTAAAAATCGAATTATTTTTAAAACTACTAACTTTTCGGATATTAATTATATAATAAAAAAAACACGTACAAGTGCACCCTGTATAATTCCAAATATTTTAAAATGTGGAGAGTATTCAACCATATCGTAATACAAAAGCACTCTATCGAAAAATCTTATCTTCAAGGCATTAAGTTACTCCGCGCAATCGTTGACTCACCCTGTACACGTGTGCAAAATTTCACTTTCTTACCAGTATTTTTTATTTTTCCCAAGAGGGGAATAAACTATTGTGCGAAGTTTCAAATAGATATGGGGTCTCGGGTACGTCCAGTTCACCTATGGATTTGAAAATTCACGACTTCGCTCTTTTTTCTAAAAAAAATTTGTTCACTCCCCCACCCCTATACCTATACAAGGTCGGGGGTTGACATTTTACATGTTTAGGGGGTGTAAAAAGGGTATAAATTTTGGGGCGTATCTGATCATCTCCACCATCGTAGATCCAAGAGCCCCCCTCTAACCAACCTTTTGATATTAATTTTCGGTCTCCTTATAAGACTTGCATTGTAGGTATTGATTTCAGCACTCAGAGGTCTACAGAATGTGATCACGCTCGATCCTGATTTTTTAAAAAAGGAGCTCGGTCTTCTTTTAGGTGTCACGAAATCGTTTATGCTCTACAGCATTAAGGGGGTTAGTTTCGAAAAGCCTCAAAGAGTTGGGGCGTCGGTTTTAAACGTGCCTGGAACACCTTTAGTGCTACCAAAGGAGAAAAAGGGTGGAAAGGTAAACGATGCGTTTGTGGTTTTAACTCGCTTACATTGTTTGGTAGATCGCGAAGCAAAGAAAACCAAGAAATAATAAAAAGGATGCCAAGAAGCAGGAGGATGATGACGAGGATTTCTACTTTCCGATCGCGAGTGATGCCGAAGATGCGTCAGTCAGGTAGTAGTCGTCTGTGGTCGACCTGCAATTAATATCAAGTTTAGCAGCAGAAAGTTTAAAACGAGTGATTCCGATTTTTCGGATAGCGAACATGGTAGAATGGCGAGGGTGGGAACAGCCCAGGATAAAGTTAGACAGGCAGCTTTGCAATTATTGCTTCAAATTGTGAAGGTAATTTCGGGGGTAAATCTCATTGGACGGATACATCTTATGACACACCACGAAAATCACAATATTGACTTAAATTTTATTAATTTCAGCAGCCTCTAAAATTCCAATGAGTTAATTAACAAATTTTCAATTCACACCTAATGTAATTCTGGGTACGAGATAGAAAAATTTAACTTGAGAAATCTTATCTGGGTTGCAGTTGGGGCTCGGATAATCACAAAACCAATCATTTGCAAATTTATTCGCCGTAAAATAATCAAATAAGCGAAATATTGCTCCGAAAATTCACTTCGTGACTTCAATTATAGCACTCGAATCTCGATTTATACGACACTGACTTCGTTGTAATTACAATTATAGTTTTGGTTCTTTGATGGTGGACAAAACTCCCTTTATCAATAACAGGTATTGGGAAACTTCTTCGTAAACGTAAAACACGCTTCCGCTTAACTTAGCTTATAAAATTCACTTTTCTCCGTGTAACGTAACACACAAGTTTGACTAGACTTTCTTTTACAAAACTTTATAACTGACCGGCAAAATTGAGTGCTTTGCCCACCAAGCATAAAGCCCCGCTAAAGGTCCAGTGCGCTTATTTCAAACCTTTCCGTTTACTTCCTTTATTTTACAAAATAATGCGTTTTCGAATAAATTAAACACCTGTGTTTTCTTATCTTGAAACTAATTAGCTTTAGCAGCGATAACGAAAGTCTTACAAATCCTCCGCAATTGTTTCCAGGTGTTTAAATCTACTGTTTTAACACGTAATGAAATTGAACAAATTAATAAATCCAGGGTGATTAAACAAAATGAATTAATTCTGATATAAAACAAAATTGATCTAATCTTGTGTCTCCAATTACACCCAACTTTTAACGTTAAAAATAATTGAATTGCACATACAGGGTTACCCATCATTACAGCAGGTGGCGATGCCAAGTAAAACCCTCCCACAACACTATTTGTATGGTTACAGATGACAGATAAAGCTACAATATTTGGATATTGGTCAAGCTTGATTCCGGACGACATGCTGGTTAGCGCAAACAACCTGAGCACGTGCATTCTAAAAGATCCCTCTCCGAAGGGCCGCATGGCCGCCTTACATGTACTGCTGACTTTAATCACGCGTTCCAAATTATATCTCGTGCAAGCCGAAACAAGGTACCTCGTAACTTTCCCCGTGATTGTCTAGTAATCTTAATTGCAGTAAAAAATACACAGCATACACTCCATTCTCTGTAATACTCGGCGCGATGGTAACCGACCTGCACAGGTGTCTCAGTCTGGCGCTCAACGAAAACTACGTCACCGTCTTATTGCAGGTGTTCAAATGTCTGGCAGCCTTAGTTCAGGCGTCGCCCTACCATAAGTTAATGCCGGGAATTGCTCGCAAGGTCATTCGAAATGTTAAGGTGTACATTAATCACAGAGGTAATTTTACAATATAAAGCGACGCGAGGTATAGTTAATCTTTCAGATGCAGCAGTTCAAGTTGCCGCATTAATCGTCTTAGAGTGCATCCTAGGTTCTGAGCCTGTAGTGCCCGAAACGAAAATTGCCTTGCTAAGGCATAGAGAGGGCAATAAACTTCCAGCTCTTGACCAAAAGGATCTTTCATGTAATGATCTACAAGAGGAAGAATTTGTCGATTTCTCATCCGACGAAGAGGACACCACTACGAGCAGTTACCAAGAGATGCCGTGGTTATTGGAAAGTTGCCTTAGTAATTTAGGAGTTCAGGTTCGTGTATGTCTAAGGGTTCCTGTTAATGTTGAAAGTGCAGGTTGCAGTGTCGTCACCGGTTAAGGTTCAATCGCTACGCGTCATTTCGGCCATGACGCGAAATTATTTTAGTTGTTTAATTGTGCCATTTCTGGGTCAGATAGCGAGAGTGTTAGATCTGTGTCTAAACGATAGCTACATGGATCTGAGGTTGCATGCAGGGCGCACCATTGATTTCATTGGACAGTCGTTGAACCAACATTTGGATGCTGAAGGTTGGTATCAAGGGTTACTTGCTCTTGGACCCAGTTACTCATTGAAAGATATGTTTTAAAATAGCCTAACATACGTAATATCCAGAAAGTGACTTGTTTCCCTTTCCTTTCTTTGGTCATATGGAAAAGTTACTCATGTGGTTGGACATTAGTTGTTTTATTCATTTATCATTGCTTATAGTGGATTGAATTTGACTCCTAGATAATAAATCAGTTTAATTAGGTCACATGACTAAACTGGATAGAGTAATATATAAAAATATTAAATTTTAGATTCATAATTAGAAAAACCGACAGTCTTTACTACATCCGAAAACCGAGAAGCCGGAAAATAAATAGGCCCAACTCTAACCAAAGGCTAAAACTCGGCGGCGACAAAGCGAACGGCAAAGAGCCTCTTCTATTTCACAAATTTCCCATCTTGTCTCATCTTCGATTGTACTTCCTCTTTAGTTACAATATGCAAAAGTCCTCTTATCTAAAGCGCGCACCTGCGATAACATTTTTTTACAAAATTAATTTCAGCGATAAATGCAACTCTTATCTGCGACCAGAAAAAACATGAGATAACCTTTTTAAATAATACGCAAATAATTTCCAGACGTTTCTTATCCTTTAACACGTAATTAAATAAACAAATTGCAAAGCGGCTATAAAGAAAAATTAACAACGTCCAAACCACGTAATTTACCCAATATATTATATACTTGTAGATGAGTATTTTTAAATGTATAGGTTATTTTTAAACATATCTTCGAAAGTAACAGTGTATGTGTAGGTCTTTGCATCAAAATGGTTGATATAGTGAGGCATTAAGACATTCGAGTGTACTATTTCAGATGACAACAAATGCGTCACTCCCGAACAAGGACTCATCTTTTGGCAGATTCTTATAAACAATTCCTTAACGGCTCTCTTACAATCTCAACACCATTCCGTGCTGAGAGCTGTTGGTTGCGATTGTTTAGCCAGTATTGGTCCGCATATTTTCGAACGTTTTACCGTACGTACAAAGCCACGCATTACTCAAGTTTATCAGAAACTTTTAGAGAGACAAACAAATTTTGATTATTACTTTACTTTTCCCGTGCAGTCGTGACGATGACAATAACGTACGGGCGGCCACGGTTCGCGCACTCGCAATAAGCGTCTTGTATCCATCATTGCGTGACGTAAGTGCAATTCCATCTGACCATAGAGTAAAAAAGATCAAGAGAAACCACGGGTTACAGAATAGTGCTGCTATCTACTGTAATTTGTTTGTTGCTGTATTCGATATATTACATTCATATACAGAGGGCGCCATAAGTTCTGGAACGGTCAAATATCTTGGTTATGTATGAACCGATTTTCTTCAAATCACAGTAAAACTCTAGAGCAGCGGTTTCCAAACTTTTTTGGTGCCGTACCACCTAATATATTTCGGAACCTTTATGTACCACTGATTTAGATACAAAATGATCTGTATAGAATATGCTATTTTGAAATGTTTAATATTTTGTAGCAGAAGTGTTTAAGGTATATGATTCTTATATAAAAAGGACTATTCTTAGGTAAAAAGTTGCCGTTTTACCATTACGATAAATAGGTAATACAAAAATGTATTTTCAATGTTCACAATAAAATTTCCCTTTTTTGCCACATTCCAAAATGGCGTGTCTACACCAGTGCTCGTACCACCGGCTACATGACTTGACGTACCACAGTTTGGGAACTGCTGCTCGAGAGTAACAAAACAACAAAGAATTCATTGGCAATAATGACAATTTTTCCACTTCCTGTTTGGCCGGAAATAGCCCAAATTTTTTATTAATAGAACACCATGTATATTTTTAGCGCATTTTTTAAGAATTAAAAAAATGCGCTGTTTGCGTTTTGTCCGTCCGGACCCACTTCTACCGTTTTGAACTACTTCTAGGGGAATGGTCCTAGAGTCCTGGAATTTTTTGCAGTAGGTAGCCTATACATTGAAGGTGTGCCAGACAGCCATCAAATTTCACTGTCTAAAAGGGCCCCCCCCCCCACGAATTATTTCTTGAGATGCTGTTTTTGAAAGTAAAACGTGCATAGTTTTTACATACGATTACCAATTGGTCTCAGATTTTGCATACGCATGCCTTTAGAAAATGGAGGGGGGGGGGGGTAAACACATGTTCTACCCTTCATGGTATTCTAATGAAAGGTCTCATTGAAATAAATTGGTTTGTACAAACTATAACTTTCCCGTGCGACTCTTTTTCGAGATCAGTGAGCGACGGGGCCTGTGGGGGGGGGGGGTTAAAATTAATTTTATCTCATTGTATTCTAATTAAAGGTCTCAACGAAACGAACCGTTTTCTACCAATTACTGCCCTTCTTTCTGTTCTTTTATCAAAGTACGTGAGGGGGGGGGGGGGGAGTGGAATTAGTTTTATCCTTCATGGTACTCTAATGAAAGGTCTCAACGAAAGGAATTAATTTCTACCAACCGTAGCCCTCTTCCACGACCTCTTATCGTGATCGAGTATATTCCCTTACACATCAAGAACGGATTGTCGGAAGAGGTACTCACAAAGGGCGATTGAGACGTCTGCAAGAAATATACCCATTGATGATGTCAAAACAAAAGCTATTTCGGTTAAAAAAAATGCGCTTCATGTGCACAACACAATTTATACTTGTTTAATGCACAATAAAAAACTAGGTTCAGAAATACTAGCAACAATATCTTTAACGGAAAACAGTAAAATAATTGTTTTAAGGATTTAAAATCATACAGTGCCTTTAAGAGATCAGCTTTTAACAGGTTGTATCAGCTAGTATTAAAGAGCCTTTAAGGTTTTTAATAATTTTTAACATTTTATAAGTCTTTAAGAATCTTTGGGAACTTTCCAAACTATTAGGTTTTCTGGTGTCTCTAAGTGTTTCCCAGTGCCTTCATGAATCTTTTACAAACGTTTACAGTTTGAAGGTTTTTAAGAACACGATTTTTTCTAGAAACCTCTCTCAAAATAATCTTCAAAAATCTTATAGTGAAAAAACTGAAAAAAAAACTTCGGAATCTCGTGTGAATTTGGCGTATGCGTCCGTTTCCACACAATTGCATTTTGTTTGCGCGCGGTCAGTTTCAAAATTACGATAAAGTCAAATGAGGGGGGGGGGGGGTTTCAAAACTGCCCCCAATTAAAAAAAAATGTTTTGTCACAGAGCGACGGATTGCGCATATTTGCTTTGCGCCTCGAATACTTCTTTACGCCCCCGCCGTTTTTCAATTATTCTAAATACAACATCCCATACCTACTGCCCCCCTCCCCAAGTTTTAAAATTTCACTTTTTTTCTAGTGATCGTTTGCGCCCCGAATACCTTCATTTGTGTCACGCCGTTTTCCAGTTATTACTCCCTACCGTCCCTCTCAATTTTTTACTAGAAATGGTTTGCGTTTGGTTCGCGCTTGTTTGTGCCTTCAACACATTCGTTTGCACCCCCGCCGTTCCTCAGTTATTCCGAATGCAAAATTCCACGTCAACTTGGAATACTGGGCGGACGCTATGGAAGTATTTGGAGTAACTGAAAAACGCCGTTGGCGCAAGCGAAGGTATTTGGGGCGCTAACCAATCGCAAACGATCACTAGGGAAAAACGTCAAATGGGGGGCAGTATGGAACTGTATAATGGCAATAACTAGAAAACCTGGTGGGAGGAGACCGGGAGGGTGGTAGGAAGGCCAGATCGTAGCTTAGGGCCCAACGTCATTACAGAAAGGTCGTATTCTTGGGAAAAATATTTGCTAATATAAAAATTTGCTTTTCCTAAATTGTTTGTCAATTGTCAGATCTCAAAATATCCTCATTCATTCTGTAGTTTTTAATTAATTCCTCGAGTCCGTGGCAGACAAAACAACGTGGTTTCTCCAAACCTTTTTTACTCTAACTGAACGAAATACATGCTTCCTTAGGACCCCGGTTTTGTCGTTGATGTTGCGTTGGTAATTCGTCGTATGCTCGAAGACAGCTCAATGGTGGTGCGCATCAAAGCGTCGTGGTCTCTGGGAAATTTAAGCGACGCCCTAGTCCTAAACAAAGAAGATTCTAACAAAGAGGAAATTCCCGACCACGTCTTGCTGCAGCTGCTACAGATCGCGATCCAGGCCTCCAAAGATAACGATAAAATCAAAGTAAACGCCGTTCGCGCCTTGGGAAATCTCCTCCAGCTGGTGAACGGTGAGACGATTAAGCAGGACGATTTTAAAGTGGCGGTCGAGGAGGGAGTGGACGCGGTGATACGATGTTGCACGACTGGTACCAACATGAAGTTGCGTTGGAACTCGTGCTACGCCGTCGGCAGAGCTTTGAAACTGGCGAAATTTCCGATCAACGATTACATACGAAAGGACTCGTTGTTTTGCTCGCTTGCCGATCTCATTTTGAGTTTTCCCAATTTTAAGGTGCGAATTAACGCGGCGTTAGCGCTCTCGTGTATTAATACGAGAGAAGGGTATCAGAATTACTTCGTGTTTGTGTGGGAGTCGCTGCTGAAAGCCTTGGAGAACACCCAGAATATAGAAGACTTCAGCGAATACAATCACCAAGATCATTTGGTGGACCAGGTACGTTCTTTTACTTAAGCAGCGGATGGATATGGATCTGTTTTCAGATATGCCTCACACTGGGCCATTTAACGACGTTACTAAGACCTGAAGACTTCGCGTTGATCAACAGTAGCACTTATCTGTACCTCGACTTATTACAGCACCAAATGCACAAAGTGTTAGATAGGCTACTACCGGAGAGGTCGGCAGTTTTATTATCGGCGGCGACGCACTTGCGTTACATGCACGTTGAAAGCTATACCAGTGAACAACGGCAACTGTACTTGGATTTACTAAAAGTCTATACTAATGAATAGCTATCTCTGATTAATATTTTTACACAAATAAATTATTTATATACTGTTACAGATCATTTCAATTCGCCATCCTCCCCATTTCAATACTAAAACAAAGAAATACATGAAATTATATTGCATTCGAAGAGTTATTCAAGCTCTTTTATAGAGTTCTTTTAGTTTTTGGACATATTTTGAATCTGTCTGAATTTTTCTTTCAAAACTTTCTTTTTCAAACCCTGTTCTTGCTCTTTGCCATTTATACTTTGTTCATTCACGTAGCTATCTTCAACTTCATTCTTGTTCTGGCCTTTTGGATTCATTGCCTGTTGTATTTTGTATGGAACTTTTCTTTCCTATGCTATTTAACTGTTTTTTTTAACTTACATTCTCCCTCCTTTTGTTACTTTTTTCATTGCTGATCAAGTGATGTTGTTAACATGTTCTTTCTTATTGTTCGTTTGAATGTTTTGTGTTTATCTCCTTTGTATCCTACATTTACTCGATTTCCTTTACCCCTCATTTTTTTCAAGTGTGTTTGTGTATTCAGTTCTTGTTTGGTCAAGTCATTGCCCTGTAAACATTTTTGGCAAACGAAACAGAGGGGCGGACGGACAACAGTTTGTAGTAATCGGACGGGTCAAGAAAGTTCGGAAAATTACGGCAAACTAGCGGGAACGAGAGCAATAGAACAAAAGCAAATGCGGGAAAGCGAACAATCCCCCCCTCCCTAGAATTAGGGAAACGGAAAGTAACAAAGCTTACCTTGAAATGATAATCCTATGTAGTTCCGTAATATTACCTCATATCACTTTCATAATAAACTTTTGCTTAAAGAATAACGTTTTTCCCAAGGTCTGGAAAAGTGCCAAGGTAATACCCCTGCCTAAAAGTCAACCAACCACAATCATATACTGACCTTCGGCCAATAAGTATTCTGCCTGTACTATCAAAAGTCTTGGAGAAAATTATGGCGGAGCAAATAAAACCTCGCCTGAAACATTTTGATATTCTACCACCAACACAATCCGGTTTTAGACAAGGTTATAGCTGTACGACATCTTTGTTAAATTTAACCGATTACATTTTTAAGGCTTTAGATTCGGGGAACCTTTCTCTATTAGTTTTGTTGGATTTGATGATGAATCTTGTACCTTATTGGAAAATTTTTTGACGGGTAGATCGCAACGGGTAAGTCTAAATGGTCTAACATCTAATGCGGCGACACTAACCTCTGGAGTACCACAAGGTTCAATACTGGAACCATTGCTTTTCATTATTTATACTTACGTACAATTTTGGTAAGTCACTCAAGCATACTATGTTCCATCAGTATGCAGATGATACTCAGCTGCATTATAATTTTAGTTCAGGTGATGCAATAAATGCAAATATGCGTATAAATGAGGATGTTGAACGATTAGTTAAGACCTCCGAAGAGCACGGTTTGCGTATAAATCCTCTGAAGTCATCAACCGTTCTTTTTGGAAGAACTAAAGCCAGAAACACTGTGGCTAATGACATTAAGATAACTGTGAAAAATGTTACACTTTCCCCAAGGCCATGTGTCAAAAATTTAGGTCTGCATATTGATGTAGATCTAAGATTTAGAACCCATGTAGCCCATATTGTTCAAAGAGCTTTCAGCAATCTAAAGATCATATATAATAATAGGCACATATTTAATAAAAGGATAAAAATAATTTTGCGTGAGGCTTTAGTTCTTTCACAATTTAGCTACTGTGATGTTATATACGGAGCTTGTATAGATAGTGTAGATATTCGGCGTATACAGAGAATACGAAACTCCTGTATGCGTTTAATTTTCGAAATTCGAAAGTACGAACATATATATCACAAGCTAGAGGCATTGGGTTGGTTAAATATGGCAAATAGACGAATGTTTCACTCATCTGTACTATTTCACAAAATAGTTGTAAGTAAAGAACCTGCATATCTATTTGACAAGATCCAATTTTGTACAAATTCAAGATAATAATGGTCAACACTATATAAGCAAGCACGCTTATACTAGTTATAATTGTAAATTCTTTTCTTTTTTTATATTCACATAATTAACTTCACGTATAATTTAATTTAATTTCTACAATGCAAAGGGTTAAGTGGAAGATTTCCCGTTAGCACCTGAACTTCGCCCTTTTAAATTGCGCACTTGTACATATTATTATTAAGATATTCTTGTTACCTTATATGATTAGCGTGATTTAATAAACGACATGATTATTATTATTATTATTAAATTAACGGAGCGGTAGCAAAAAAATCGTTAAAAGCCAACTGCAATCAATAAGGTGCGGTAACTTAGTGTAAAAGCAAAAATGAAACTGTACGGATGCAATGAAATGTAACTGGCGGAAGTGCAAGGGGGAAAAATCCCCCCTAAACACCGGCTTTACCTTATCCAAAATTCGGCTCTTGCAGAGAGGAAACCTAGGAAATTCCAAATCGGTCGGCGTGTCGTTTTCTTAATTAAGCGCGCTTAATTTGGAACTAAGGACGCCCCAATCCAATTTCCAGATACAGTATTCCAATTAACAACCATTGCTAATTGGAATTCGCAGGATCAATGTGGTGGTCGCTATCTGGCTGATAATTGCATTGCCTTGCTCGCTTTCAATTTACCATAGAAAACAAAATCTGCTAATAATGGCGTACATGTCTGAAATTCGAAAGTATTAATTTGCCCTCTTTTTCTATGACAAGAGAGCTCTCGGTGGCTCCCTACAGGAACAGTTGTAAAACTGATAAATTCACTACTTCACTTACGTGTGTTATCGGCGGTAAAACAAACAATTAAACAAAACGAAAACACACAAAAGCTCACTCGTCGTCTTCTAGAGCAAATAAGTAAATTCAGAAACTACTTAGTAACGAAAACGCATCTAAATACCGGGTGTTCAGCAAAGCTGATCGTCTTCACAACTATACTATGTGGTCATAACTTCGGGTGGAAAACGGGTGCTTTGTTACAAAGTCGATAAAGGATTGTTATCGGCGATAAGGAATAAAAGCAGGTGTAACGTGTTCTTTCCAGGATGTATATGCTGACTCTAGAATCGTTTGCTGTATAAGTAAACTGAATTGTGTTTAATAGTTGTTCCAACATCGATCCCGAAGTGATAAATTGTGAAATTCGCGCTTGTGTTGTAAATTTGAAAGTACAAGTAGGTAAGTGATAATTGATAAATAATAATTGTTATAAATCAATCTACTTATGGACCGTTATAAATTTATTTAATAACTTAATTATAGATAAATAAATTATGTAATTAATAGTTACTCGTATTTATATAGAAGACGAGAAAGGGATGTTTCATGAGTGGTTACGCCACGAGTGAATTGACCTTAGTTTCTCTTTTTTTTTGTTTATTTTATTACAGAATCCATATACATATATCATAATAACACATAAGTTTTGAATTTAGGACGTCGAAGATAAATGTGTACCTACCAATTTAAGAATCGTCTTGATAACAAGAATTTAGAAAAGATTAATATTGTTAACTAATTGTACGTTCGTAACCGATAGAATTTAGCTTAAACAAAATAGCATAAATAGGCTTGCCTCATGCTATTATCATTTAAATATAATAATAATAATAATAATAAAAAACACAAAACTCCTTCTTCACATAAACACACCACGTTATCACAACCCACTCGTATTCAACCCAAACGCAAAGCCAAAGAAACACTTACACAATAAAGGAATTATTATAATGATATTTTTGTTTTGTTTTCTTCTTTCCTGATAGCGTTGACTATTGGGGCCATTAATAGCTATGTTGGTAAGTATGAATTACATACTATCTCTAGATTTCCAATGTGACTTTAGACCCTACATAACTTCACCAGACACAGACACTAATCGTTACTTGATTTTAATCCGTGCGATTAGTTAACCAGGCTAGACCTGAGTTCTCACAAGAAACACCGACAATAATAATAAAAATAGCAAGCTTGAGTCCTTCCGTCGGCGTCGTTTCTATGGAATGGATCGCATCGATAATTACGAAATACGACCGTTTGATCTCCGTCACCCTTCTCTCGACCCTGTCCTAGCCCAGTAAATGTTAGGCTATTAGGCAGAAACGCGCATGCGCAAGTGTGTCAAAATTTCATTTCCGGCTGAACCGATTGGAACCAAATTTGGTACTCATATTCTTAGATAGAATATACATCGCACATGCGCTGGTGTCTTGCGGGCGTGGGGGTGGTATCTGTGCTAACCACAGCAAATTTTTTGTCCTGCAGACCGACATCATCGTGGTTTTGTTTGATACGGATTCCTGGTGCTTCAAAACGTGTATTTTCGTCAGAAAGTGGGCGTCATTTCTTACCCAAATACTAACGTGCTGGTAGTAAAAAGGTACAGAGTGAAGACTGTTCGAAATAGGCGTAAAGAAGACGCGAAGAACGGTCGAAGGAAGGCGAGAGAGCAAGGAGACAGCATCGAGAAGACAAGAGGTGTCAAGCAGGCGTTGAGAGGACAAGAAGGAGGCGCCTAGAATACTCGAAGTAGAGGCGTCGAGAAAGCAAGAAAAAAGCTCGAAGAAAGTGAAAAGAATGCGGAGAAAGGTTTGAAGGTGACGGCGTCGAAAAAAGCATGACGAAAGCCCAAAAGAAGCGGAAAGTCTAGATGATTATTTAAAAGCGTAGATTAGATTTCAAGGAGGGTTATGAATGACTCGAAGTAGACTCAAAGAAAGCGATGTGAAAGCATCGAGAACGTGACGTCGAAAAGACAAGAAGAACAAGTTGAGAGCGCAAGGAGAAAGTATGCACGAGCACGAAGGAGGCATTGAGAAAGCAAAAAGAGAACCGAGAAGGATTGAAGAGCCGTTAGTTATTTGGAGATGACGTGAAGAAGTTCGAAGGACGCGGAAGAACTGTTTGAAGGACCGTAAAGAAAACTCGAAAGAAGGGTAGAAACTTACAGAAAGCGTAAAGAACGTTCAGGGGGGCGGAAATGACGCTTAAAGGAGCCGTGAACCAAAAACCAAATAAAGGCAGGATGGATTGCGGCAAGCGTGAAAAGATGCGGGAAAT